AAATGCGATTGATTAATTGATACCTAAATCGAACTAAATTTAATATTTCAGAATAACATTTTACAACGAAATATAGATAGGAATATAATTTCATGGAACAAGCAAAGATATTCTTGTAAGTTTTGATCTGTGTTCTCAGCATCCTGTAAACAGAAAATATTCCAAAAGCTAGCACTTACGAATATTTAATAATTTTTGTATTTTACACTTAACGACTGGAAAGGCAGTTTGCTATTCATTAGCAATATTTATTTACCAATCAGAATAGGTGCAAAGAATTAATTTCAATCGACTTGGCACGACTATGGGAACACAACCGACCGTAGTTGTTTCTCGAAAATGTTGATGAACAGTACGAGATGAAACGTTACATTTGCTTCTAGCATTCTACACGGATGGATGATCGATCGATGAAGCTAATCGACTGATTCGTAGCGACGGGGATGATCGAACGACTCGGTTGATAATGCTGCGGATACTAGACACTCTAACAGAAAGTACACGTGTAAGAATACAAGTACACTTACCAGAGATTCACGGAAGTTGAACGGTGACTAACGACTTAAATGGCTCTTTTAGCCACGTAAATTACAACGATCTAGAGTAAACTGAAAATTCTGCGGTAATGTATGTGTTCAATTTTTTTTCCTTTAATCGTGATCTTGTTTGATCGATGAATGATGTCTTTTCTGTTCTTTTGTCCTGCTGATTTGTAATCAGATCTACAACGGTCTCTATCGGGATAATCGGAGAGATTGGAAGGTTCTACGGTATAGTTCTCTAAACAGCGTTGAAGAATGAAATATTACACGAGATTCTATCGGTGTACACCTCTGTATCGCTGAGTCATTAATTGCATTGTATTTCTCGTGGGCGTGGTATCGAACAATGTAACAAACGCGGACAGGATTTGTGTGTTTCCCATTGTTGGTAGCTGGGGCATGTATCGCGAGCATTTTACTCTGATTCCATTAAAGTTCTGTACACGAACCTTCTGTGTCTTAGATCCCTAATTACGATACGTATACTATCCTCCGTCGGTCACCGAACACTAATGTCAACAGATATAAAAGAAAAAGGAATTTTTACTGTGGTAAGACCAATTATTAATTCTTTACTTTCCGAAGGATATGGTGTAACAATAAGTAATTCCCTATTTATTTTAAATGAACTGATGACACAGTTTAAATTTGAAACACCTTACTACCTTTTTCAAGAATCAGGACAAATATCACTTAAACAGTATCAGCTTCTTAATTCCTCGAGTATATCCAATCTCTTTTCAAAATTAATCTCATACTTATAAATAATATTAAATAAAATGAAATAAATTAAAAAAAAATATTGAAATAAAATATACTATTTATAAGCATTCCAATTAAAACAGCATTGAACTTGACTGAATATAGTGGATTATTTATTGGTACACGTAATATGAACTGTATTCTACGTATTTGGCTTATACTGATGCAGCAGTCTTATTTAGAAATGAGCATAGTCTGCCAATGAATCATTCGAACGTTTTCTAATGATCTCGAGCACGATCTCATTATAACATTTTTCTACAAATGACTTCATAATTTCGAACATATCTTCTCATTCTCCTCTTGCATTTTGAATTAGTTTTAAGGGGTGGACAGTGATTTTCAAGGATTACGATACTAAATAGGTATACCTATTAATAATATTACTTTTTTTACTATTCGTAATATTACTTACTACTATTTTCTATTATATTCTATTCATAATATTACTTCCTAACTTTTCGAGATCACCCGAATGTTTGACATACGTCTAAAATCATAATCACGCGCACAAAAACAAAATAAAATAAAGTCTCCCTGTATTAAAAAAACCAAGTGCTCGGTGACTCACGGGCATCGTACATACATTCTGTCGGAAATAATCGATCCGTTGTTGCGCGAACAAAATGCAAGGGGATGGACTACGAAGGAGCTTCGAATCGAAGTCGACGAACCAAAGAACTACTGTTTCGATTCGTCCTCGCGTGTCGAACTGCTGGGAACGTAGATCGCGAAAGGGGATGGAACTTTGTAAACTCGATTTCATCGATCTGGTCGTCGAAACGTTTCGGGGCTCGACTGCCGTGAATTTGGCACGTGGAGCGAGGGCAAAAGACAACGAGGGATGTCTGGAATCTGTGAACGCCTGGAAATGTCCGATTAATGCCGCGTCGCTAATGGCCGCCTCGCGACATCGTCGGGGACGAACGTAAATTATGGGTGGAGGGACGGATGTGACGTACTGGACCGACATCGACGGAGTGTGTACCGTGTTCGGACGAAGGCGTTGAAGTAAATTGGACGGGACACTCGGGTTAGGTGTGCTTCCAAGGATGGACGTGTTGAGAATTATGCACCCGTTCGTCACATCGTACGTAAGACATTCTTCTTTCAGCGTGTAGAAAAATCTGTGGCACAGTATCTCCCCTTTATAAGCTCGATATCTTCAGTCACCTTATTGCTGAATGTTCGAAATGTATTTACGTATTTTCTACCTTTTGTTATTGGTTTAATTGCGTCGAGGATGGGGAATAGGCGAATACACTTTTGCATTTGAATGTTCGTTTTGGAAGTATTTTTCCTTTTGGACGAAAGTAAGTTCTGCGATTAAAGGTTGTCACCAGCGAGCTTGTAACGTAGAGATATTGTAACGTGTGTGTTGTTACCGTGTGTGTAGGGTATTTTTTTGGATGCTGTTGTTGGAATTCCGATTGCTTTGTTTCAGACCGCGGATCGCGTTGGTAGCACAATGGGGAAGGAAACGATACTTCGTGATCAAGTGAAATTGTAAATGTACAGTATACGCATGTATTGGGAGTCCAGTGACATTTATGATGAATTCGACGTTTAAAATAGGGTGGAACACAATCATGCTACCTTACACAGGTTTTACTGAACATTTTTTTCAAACACTGACTCTTCCTCTATATTGAACCAGTACATGTTAATGTTTCGTTCGATTGCTTATAAAAATGTTTGCAAAATCACGACAATATTGTTATAAAACATTTACAGGCTTGCAATAATCACGAGACAAAGATGAAATATGACATGTCTATACAAATATATTTACACTCTCCTTAAAAATGTTCAAATGATTTTATTCTGGGATTAGTTTCGTACGAATCCTACTTTTGGAAAACAACTGTACTACATTTTCAATTCACCTTATTGCGAAAACTTTTCTTCCCGATCGTTGACTACCGTGCCTCACAAGTCATCCAGCCTGAAGTCAGTTTTGTGTCCCACGTGTGTAACTCCTGTTCAAGAGTGAATTTTTGTTCACGAATAACGTACAATCTTTCTACGACTATTTTTCCGGCATAATAAGCCTGATTTGTATAACGTGACTAGAATTCGTCTCACGTGGACGCGTCCTATTCGCGTCGTTCCGTTCCCTTGTCTATACCACACAACACACAGCTGTGCTCACCTGTACGCTATCGTTTTTCACCGAAAAAAGAAAAATGTAAATAAGACGTAAGTTGCGATCACACGATTGGCGTAGCGAGACACACCGATGCGAACAGTGCAAATCTACATTACGTACGGCGTCCACGCAGGTGGCAAACATTTTCGGACCAGCGAGAACGGTGTCGTGGACAGTACTCTCCCTTGTTCGTGACCGTTTTCCCCCGTCGTGAACACAGAATTTCGTTCGTAGAGAGACAAAGAGCGAGACAAAAAAGACGACACAGAGAGACAAAGACACACAGAGAAGAGGGTAGAAAGACAGATAGAGGTTGAACGAGTAAACAGACGCACAGCGAGAAACAAAGAAGCAATATAAACGAAGAAAAAAAAATTGGAAAGAAAATGTAAATAATTCACTTTTTAGGGGAATACGGTCAGGTATCATTGCATGTGTGTGAAAGATAGGAAGAGAGAGAATTTCGTCCGCGAACCGTGACACCGTTCCAGAACACCACTGACTGCGCAGCTCTATGCACACATATGCGAGGAACGGGTGCATTCCGACAACGGGCACAGCCAAAATCGCTAGACAATATATAGAATATATATATAGATATCAGTGTGACAATCAAGTACAACACAGCAGCAGCCGGCAGAGCGTCAGACGTCGATGATGAAATAATAACGATAATCACAGTCAAGGAACAGTGTTAGAGCAGTATTCAACCTTTGCACTCTGGATTCGTCGACGTGACATTTGATTCCAGCAGCTCGAATATTAAGTAGGTAATTCGATTTGTAGCTTCTTGGACGTCATCGAAATATTTCATTATCATTAGTGTAAACGGAACTATTAAAAGAATACGTCTTCTAGAAATTTTGTTGTACGTACAAAAGTAGTCAGTATTGAGGATTAATTAATCCTTATATTTTCTAATCGCCATAATTTATTCAATGATCTAATATAGTAGTTTTAAACTATTGTGTTGTCCTAGGAAATATTGTGGCAGCTTTCCACTCGCTTTGTCTCCCGTTACTGATTTTTCTTCCATTCTGCAAACATAAAACTGCTAGACAAAGGACGACAGGAAACCACGAACTACTATGAAATGTATTCCGACGATTGAAATTCGAAACATATACGTGATATTTCCTGGAACATTTTGATTTAGAATATCTTTCATTTCGTTATCGAGTTGCTGGATTAGAATGTTTGATGTAGAGTGCAAAGGGATGAAACAATGAGAGGCAAGTATCCAAGTAGAGAACACGTGAAATGCGTATAATGTAAATGGATGGCGTGTGGAGGCAACGTAAAGGGATTTTCGGGCGTGTAGTTTCATAAACAGTAAATAATAGTAATACAAATAAGGCACATAGGTGGTACACATAATGTATCATATACACATAATGTATATATATATATATCTATATATATATGTATACATATATGTATATAGACAGATGTATAAAAATCGAGCGCTGCACGTTTCATCGTTTTTGTTGCACGGAGGGGGTGCAAAACCGGCCACGGCCGGTGGGCACAACGAGCTGGCCACAAACCTGTAATGGCGATCTTCGCGGACCACTTGCTGGTACCGTCCAGAACCGACTGCTTCACCGACGTCATGTGGCCCGTATATGGCTCCTCGTCGACCCCGAAGACTGACCTAAACTCCGACGAGACTTTCTTTCACATGAGCTGTGCCAACGGCCTGGATCTCGTCCTACCTGTTCCTCTAATTCGGCTAGAGCCATTTTCTCGGCCAGTGCCATTTCAAGCCCCGATATTCTATTTCATTTTTTCTCTTACAGAGAGTTGCGCCGTAACGTAACTTTTTTAAGGAATCTGTTGGTCTTTCGAGATCTATTTAACCGTTTCACTGATTTATCTGTACGGTTTTTGAGTCAGGACCGATTGTTCAATTTACAATGTGGATACTTTGATATTTGGATCTAGATATCTTTTGGATTTAAATATTCATGTCTTTAATATTAGATATCTAATATTTGGCATATTTAACTGTACTTTGTGAACCAAGATTTATCACAATGGTGACGATTTGTGTGTTCGATTAACACAGTGGCGACCGATAAAGCTTTGTGAAAATTGACTGTGTCACCGTGTGACGGTAAGGTTTAAAGATCATTATAAATATCCTCTGTAATAAAGCCAACGATACTCAAATTTAACTAGGAATACTGTTCCCTAAGAAATAATTAATAAAGACGGTCGTCGTACATATTTACTACGAAAACAAGATTTCTCGTTACGAATGCGTTAAAGTTCATATTATGTTTCCTCAGTAAGAACTAGTTGCCCGTGACAAAAGAAACCGAAGATTCTTGAAGTGAAAAATTTGTTCTTAATAACAATTCAAACTCCTTCTTCGTATTTCTATAGAAAATCTAGTTAACAAGCAAAGGTCACAAGAAACATTTTTCGCCCGAATATCGTCGTTTTCAACAAGCAGCGAAACGGTTAGCTCCGAAATATTCAATTTTCTTCAGCTCGACAAATTCTCAGCCGTCTCTCTAATCATCTGCGTGAACTGTTCCTTCAGACCTGTTTACATTCCTCGCGCAACTCTCTGTGCACGATATTTCCCTGTCAGGCTCTGCTCTCAACTTCTATCCGTCAAGTCGAAGATCCGCGACTGGGGCACGATAGTAAATAAAATGTACTAACACAATATCGATAATAATAAAATTCCGGCCTGGACTTGAAAAGGTATAACAGAATAAAGGGTTTAAAAACGCCCTTAGATCGATTTGGATCTATGATAGACTATTGGATAGTTTATCAAAGACAAAGTAACCTGCTACTAAGTTTGCAACCCTCTATTTCAACCACGAGTGTAATAACAGGGAAAATTCGGGTTGCCGGTTTTTCTTCTATTTTCCCTATTTAATGACACGCAAAAAGTCTTCAACTAGGATTTTCAATCAAAAAATCGCAAAAAATTCACAAATATATTTGCCACGGTAAGTACTATCTACCAGATTTTTTACATAATTTTTGCATTCCATTACATTGGGAAAATAAAGGAAAAACCGGTAATCTGATTTTTCCCTGTTACTACACTTTTGACTGAGATTGAGGATTGAACTTGGTACTTTTAGGATTTTAGGTTGTTTTTTTTTATACGCAAATCGGTCTAAGGGCATTTTTGACCCCCTTATCCTGCTGTACACATTGTCGAAAAAATGTGATACAAAATTTGTATACATATATTACTTTCGTCTATACTGTCCATAAGATTGTCAGTGATTCCTTCCTAAATGACTATAAAAACACTGTATCTCGTATGAATATTCCAAAAAAAGTTATACCATCGAATAACATCACGTTCAAACGTTTAATGGTACTGACCACGTTCGTGTATAAATAACATCTGAAATCAACAGTCGCGACGTTATAAAATGGCGGACAAACGGCCAGCAATCTATCCGTCTAGACACGTACGTCGGAAAATTACGGCTGATAAATAACTCTGTTTATCGAAAATCCGATATCTCGGTGTGGTCCTGCATAAATCAAGGCCGACGTTCGGCAACCGCCGATCGAGGTTCATCGAGGAAATATTTTCGGAGCGTTGTGGACAGACGCCCCTTGTAATTAACGCGGCGGCGGTCATCGATCAGCTCGCTAACGAGGGCGTTGATTGTACGCTGGCATCGCACCAAAAATTCCCTGTCGTCGTATCTTCGACCTGCGAACTCGTTCCCGTACACCAACGGATCGTACACGATTTTTCCCTCCCCCCGATTTTCACCCAGAGAAGACGAGACCCGGCCTTGCGAAAGCAACGAGGTTTTCGGTTCGTTTCACCCGGTTCCTCGTATCTTTTCCCCTGGTTCGCCAGTCGCCATTGCTTCGTCCACTTTGTTCGTTGGCTTCGCTCAAAGAGATACTCTGTTCCCATTACATTATTGTCTCCCGTCTATGTGCACCTCCATTGTACACAGTTGCTTCGACACTGCTTTGCACGCGGAATTTTGGAAAATTTCGAAATTTTCCAACGTTTTTGTAACGACACCACTTTGACACGGGAATAATGGACAGGTGGTTTATTTTATTCTTTTTTATTTTACTCGCGTATGGACGTAACTTTGTTGGACACAAAGGCAAGAGGAGAAGTTTGTTGTATCGTTTTGCACAAAATTTTCCGCATTGTGATGCGTTGTTGGGCTAGAAACTGTTCGACGTTGGGTCGAATCTGTTGGGATTGTGAAATATAGTGGGTCTGTTGCGTAGGAGTAGCGACAGAGACAAGAAGTTTTGTCTAGATGATTCACATAAGTATTGTCTGTTGACACTTCATTTATCTCATATGTACACTATTGTCAATATTTGTGCGTCTTAGAATTTGAAAGAAATTACTTAAACTATTTTTTCTTGTAGGTGGAACATTTTCTCTTTGAATCCGCAGATTTATACTTCTTTTTTAGTGAAGTAGAAAATGTATCTATACAGGATGTTTCCGAAGTTGTAGTACAATCGAAAAGGACGTGATTCCTCGCGTAAAAGTAAGTCGAAAATATATAGAATACAATTTTTTCGTGTGATGTTTTGTTTCGAAAATAACGGAAATTGAAATGGTGCGTCTGTCTATTACATTCTCTTTCTACTTATCTCTAGCACGAGTATACACGTATGTTTTAGGTCGAACGTGCCACTTTTGTACACGGTTTGGAAGTTTAAACGGAAGGTAGCAGCGTCGAAACGGAGTCGAGTGAGAAGTGGAAGTGGAAGTAAACGGAACTTTTGATTTCTTACCACCGGGGTAATTCGTTCTAACGTTCGCGGCAGCTGTTCCATTAATTATTTGAAAAAGAAATAAATAAAGTATCGAGTGGTTCGACGGCGGGACAAGCCGAGTTACAAGCTTGAATTATTGATCGATATTTAATCGAACCGACGATCCGCGTTATCAACCCTGAACAACTGCGGGGAAATTCCTGAACGGAACACGGGGGCGGTGATATTAATTAACCCTGATCCCTATTAAATCTATACACCACTTAACTAACTTTTACCGAGATTTCAGATCGTACTCGACCGATACTTCGATCCCTTTTGACAATCGGTTTCGAGACGGTGCTCGAATGAAATCGACTGGTCATTGAATTCTGTATGGTAAAGCGTATGAATTTCTTATTCCATTTTTTTTAATTTATTTACAAGTGGCTGGAATTACATTCTACGAAGTTAACGATTTATCGGGAAATTTAAACAGATTGTAGGGCATCCTCGAACTACTCGTCTTTCGTAGAGTTTATTCGAACATAAAAATTTAAGAGAAGAACAAATTCTTGGAAAGGGGTATTGTATTATATTTAAAATATTCAATGTATTGTATTATTTTTTTTCTTTTCGTTTCAAAGAATCACTGAACATTCAACGAAGGTAGTAAATCAATTTCTCCATCGATATTAGGGAAGTTTAAAGGGTTTTGCGTTCGGGTTTATAGTACCGTATCATTAACTAGTTCATACTGGTGTCGTATAATTAGGGAATCACGACTAATGAGCGACGGATCGTCAGTAATAGCCTGTTGGTGGGGCAGCTGCATCGCTGATTAATTTCCCGGCGTGAGAAGATACGATTAGGGGTGGCGTCGTATCGATTATGCCATGTGCGGTGGAATTATCAGGTTGATCAATTGCATTATTATTAGCCAGTCGGTTTATACGTAAGGAGACCGCCGAGAAATGGGGTGCCGTTCGTGTTTTTCGGAACATCAGCGATTTTCCTGGCGTGTAAGCACGGAAATTGCAATTCCGACCCGTAAACCGGCGTTGGTTACTTAATAACTGATAATGAGTCTGATGGATGCCACGCTATTACGTTTAAGTCGATCCAACGAAATGGTGTATATGCTGGATGCTTCCGGCAGACCTGAATCGAAAACGGAATTCAAATGGAAGCAAGACCTTCAGATTATCTTGTGAGTAAAAATAAACTTAGTGAATTAGAATTTAACGATCCTCCAACGTGTTTGTAGTGTCTTAATTATAATACCAAAAAAGTCTAATGTTCGTGAATTTAACATAGGAATTTTTAGTCTACTACGTTCAATAGGCTGTTCGTTCCCCAGTAATTTTACAATAACCAGGCAGAAATGAAAACAAAACATTCGGCATATACTTTTAATTCAATCCTGCGAAGTCATGAAATACTGGTGTATTTTCAGGGGACTTGAATGAAAACAGTAATTAACGATAATTTCTAGAATTTCACGCATCTATCATAAAAGTGCAAAGAAACTCCACACAAATGGACCCCTCGAGGTTTACAATAAAATTATTAACGGACCGCCTAGTTTTCGCTTCTAACATGGTTCCTACGAATTTAACCAAGTCTCTTTGCGGAGGTACATGTATTCTCGGTTTCTTCCTTTTTTTTTTGCCGTGTAAAATGTTTCACGCGGTACGGTTCCGCGGGTACCACCGGGTAAATGCGTCACATATTTTTATCGCGTCCGTTTTAACATGTACAAGGGTCGTTTGAAACTAGAAAGCGGGAAGTTTCTTTTTTTTTTCTACATGGCACCCTACATTTTCGCCTCGGTAGAATAACACAGATCCGGAGATAAGCGTGAAGAAGTGTGTCGCTGCGACTGTTATTTCTCAGATACAACGAATTTCTTTCCTTCATCTTTTTGTTTCCATTATAAAAATACACTGTCCGTTCTTCCGTCGCAACTACCATTGTGTGTTTGGGGAAATATTTACAATTTATCTGCTGTGTCTCCTCGTTTTTTCCCCCGCGTCAGGGCTACGAATTTCTGCGTCGTTTCCCCGTGATTTTGCGTGTTACGTCGACCTGATTTCTATTCGTAAGGAATATCCGCGCGTTGCTATTGTTTCTGGTAATAAATGGAAGTGAAACCGTGAACGAGTATATTGTGAAATAGGAAATATGTATAGAGTATGTTTTGCTGTTGTCGGTAATAAAATCGTAAAATACGAACCTGTGATAAATTCGCGAGATCAGCCTGGGAGAATGGACGAACAACCGTGTGATGGATGTCGTTCGTCAAAGTACGGTATTACTTGTTTTGTTTGTTTGTTCGAACGAAGAAAAGTATCACGGCGGAAATGCTTCGTCGATTTCGACTCTACACATTTGTCGTGAAATATCACCGAGAATATAGTACGGATTGACAGCCACCAAGATACAGCGTTGGCCATGAATATCTCGAAACTATCGTGAACATGTTGTATGGATCAAACGCGGCATGTGTCGCGTGGTGTGTACGCGTTTACTGCGACTTGCTCGGGGCATCGATCACAATTTTTTGTTCAGACGATTCCGTACACTAGGAAACAGTCCACGAAATCATAAATTATCTCGAATAGGTGACTTTTATCGTCTCTTTTCTCGTGGGCAAGGCACGTGTGTTTTTCATGCTCATCCGAAATGCACGATTTATCGTCGCGAGTGGTGGATCTGTGGCGTACGGCGGCTCCTGCGACTTGAATGTAAATGCACGAGGAGACCGATTTACGCGCAAGAAGTGTCCGTCACAAGGGAACAAGACGAACATCGCATTTTCTGCGATTAAAGGAACACTTTGGTGGCAGTTGTCTCGATCGAAATCTTATCGAAGAAGTAATTCGAAATGTTGGATGAAAAATGATCGTAAAGACTTCACGAAAGTTCGTGGGAGAGTGAAAATCTTTGCTGATTTAGCCTCTCTGTTCCATCGGATACCTGTCCGTTTAAATTCTAAATCAAAAACTGTCTTTCGAACTCCTCGTGGCTATGATTTTAATAAATATGAATTTAATTATTCCTATATTGTAATATAGGAATTATTGATTCAATCTTGGAGCTATTCAGAGATTGGTAAAATAATTGTAATAATTTATTAAGGTATTTTAATCAGAATAAATGAAAAATCTACAGTGGTTGCCACGTACATAGACAATACTCTATTGATTTATTTTAAATAATACGTCAATTACAATTTTCCAAAGAGGCGAGTAAAAACAATTTATCGGCAGTGTTTGTTTGCATCCAGTGTTTCTAAATTCGTTCAAAGCGGTAATTCCAATAGGGCAGCTTAGTATTCCTCTCTTCCGGTCTGTCATTTACCTTTGAACCGATATCGACGTGGAATTATAGTATCAGCGGTCGTTAGACGGGCGTCAAATAAATGGATGTTCTTCGGATGAAAGATCCGCAAGAAGTATTTTCCCGTCGAGCCTTCGGCGATGACGTCAAAAGGACGATGCAGATTTGTAAAGGAGAGCCCGATCAATCAGGATCATCCATCTAGTTATAAAGCCTTGGAATTTACCGAGCTACTAGGATCATGGATCGCGCGTCGATCCTTCGTGTTTACCCAGCGAATCGTTACGTGAAATTGCGTCGACTACAGAGGATGATTTAACAGGTGTACGAAATGTCAAGGGAAATCGCGCGCTCGCGATACGTTTCGCGAAAATTGCAAGTCATATTTTGTTCCCGATTAATTCTGTATTCCCAATTAATCCCGAATTGTCTATTATATTATAGAATGCATTACGAATTGCAGTAGAACGGAAATTATTCGAATGCCGCGATGTTAACAGGAATAATCACTATAACTGAATGTGTTATTAATAACAGTTACTTTAATTGCAATATCTACTGAGAGTTTTGTCCATTTTTTCGATGTTGAGATAGACAATACACTTTACTAGATTGGGATAGATTGAAACGAATAGTATTGGGATTGAAATACATAAAATACAGAGAAATATAACTTGACAGACAGAAATGGTGATTGGTCACTTTCTACCATCAGTCTGATAGCTTTTATTCTGTCCCTAGACTAATGGAACCATTAACAAAAGAAAATAAAGTTCCATTCAGTTCTTGTTTTTTCAAATTACTCTACAAAACCATGAATTTCCATAAAAATGTTCATCCTACAAACCAGAAACAAAACACGTAACAATTTACAAGAATTTCTGCGTCATAAGTTTAATGAATCTGAGTGACTATTTTTCTTTTACTTCCGATTTAATTTCAATGCGGATGATAGTCGTTCGACCAAAGAACTGATTACCTAAGTTTCGAAGGAATTTACAATCGTTAGTAACATACAGTTTCATTTGCAAATTCAGGGGCTTTTATCCGATAAATGGTTTCCTTCGTGGGTGGCTTTATTGCAATCTCGGGAATTACGAAGCGACTGTAACACGATTAATCTAATATGCAGCTCTGAAAAATATGTATTGAAAGCAGTTTCTTGTAACGACAGTATCGGAAAGTTCCCGGGAGCTAAGTGAGTGAGCGATATCAGAGGAAATAGGAGAGACCGTTATACTTGCTTCTCTTCGGATTCCCTTATGTTCTGCGTCTAGGGTTTCATATTCAAAATAAGTACAGAAATCCAAAGGAATTGTAGAACAAGGCAACTGCCTTTAACGAGCAAACTTCGGTTCACTGTTCTACCTTGTTATTACTTTCTTTCGTGTAAGGTTCTTTAAAGTCAAGATAGCAGAAGTGATCAGAACCGTGGAATATTACAATTTGCCCTTCGTGTTTAAAACTATTCCGCAAAAGAAAAAATCCCTGCAGTGAACAAGGAAGAAAAATTTTTCAAATATTTCAAGATGTCGATGCATGATGTCGATATTTTTTTAGGAAAAAGAATCTAGATCACATTATCTCGACTGAATGTTCCACGAACCAACATTTAATTTAAATTTCTGAAAATATGCAACAATGACATTCTTCTTCCGGTTCTTTCCATCTCGAAACTCTCTCTCCCCCTCTCTCTCTCTCCAGGTATAATTCCCAGAGTTTGTGACGCGACGCACGAACAAAAGGGTATCAGGCGTGGCCGGTTTTGGACATCCAGCGCAGGGATGGAAATAGTTTTAAATCCTTTTTTGTACCCCACGAATCACCCCGATATCGGACAAAAGACGCAGCGCGGAACAGTAACGCCGTCTCTCGGATAGTGGCGCTGTGGGGTGGGGGTGAGGGCTCCTCTTTATCGCGGGACGGCCGGCTAACCTAAATTCATCTGTTCCACTGTCCTGGCGCGTTCTGAATGCAGGCATTTCGCGCGGTCTTAGACGGCCGAGCGAATCGTGAGTAATGCATGCAAATGCAAAAACTTTCGAGGATGCAACCAGGAGCCTTGTTAAGGTACGAACGGTTCGAACGAAATCGATCCTCCACTCTGGATCAGAATGAAAAGTTTCTTCGTGTATAACCCCTTGCCTTACGATTTTTTTCACGACTGTACTTTCAAGCATTACTTTATCGTTAATAATTTCCCAGATACAAAAGGAATTTTATTCTTAGGGCAAAAGTATCATTTACTCTAAATCTTAAATATCAACCCTTTGCGTTCGAGAGCCGACTCTTTAAGAATTTTTAAGAATTGACGGCCAGAAGCAATTAAAACGTAATTGGAATGTCTGGCGCAGAATATAGTGTAATTCACGGGTGTTATAATTGCAGATAGTAATTTAATTATCGAATAGTCGGGGTGTTGGATGATTAACCTTCTACTGGTCCTGAATCAATAGAGCATTAGCTTGAGAACTTCTACTCTGTCGCTGTTTCTTAAATACGTGACTCACTGTTGCTTTGCCATGAATTTCGAAGTCTATATTTGTACAGAGTTCCATTTTCCTCTTATTTATCTGTTAAGGACCATTATTTCTGAAGGACCTAAAGTGAAGATATCTGACAGATTTATTTACTAATAATGATAATTCTACTGACCTTTAATAGGTATATAAGTATATAAACAGTGGAATCATGAATAGTCATTCATTTAAAAGGGGATTCAAAGATTGCAGCAGATTCAATTTCAGACGGTCCATCACGTTTGGCCATTTCTACCGTTACACGTCTACCGGTAACACCGTCCATTTGTCTCACGAACCACATCGTAGATCCGACCAACGGTCAGAATCGAATCGCGCGTGCAAAGCAGTGACCATTTCTCATATTCATGGGAAGCTGAGAATGTATCATTTGTATTCCAACGAAACGTCTTTTAGATGGCCATTCGACTAGCAATGGCGACGGTTTCGTCGATCCGATCAGATCGGATCGTAATCGATCGACTATATCATCCCTGAAATATGTGCGTGACGATCGATTGACGGCGTTTTTACCGCGCCGTGTCGATTTCGCTGCGACAGAAAAAAGAAAGCGAAAAAAGAAACGGCCGAAGACAGGCCAAGAAAGACTCACCGGATCAGCTCGAAGATCTCCGGCTTCTCCCGTTCCCTCTGCTTCATTCTTTCCTTCATGGCCGTGATTATGCTGTTCGCCTTATCTTCGGCCCCGTGCTTCGAGCTCTTCTCAGCCGCCCCTGGGAAAAAGGAAAAAAGCGACCGGTGAAAATTCGTGAGCGACGGGAACGCATTTCGGCTTCGAGCACCGACGAGAAATTTCACTCGGAAGGGAGTCGTTTAATTTGAAAGGAATGTTGTTTGCCGTGAAAAACCGGTATTTCGACGGGAGTCACGTTTAATGTTTATACGAACAGTGAATATTATTTTGATTTCCTTTTTTCATTTTGCAGTTCACGTTCAACGCTCGTGCTCGATGCAAGTCGGTTCCCATGAAATTATTAAGGAAGGTTTGTGAACGATCGTACAGGTCGCTTTCAAAGCCTCTATTTTATTCAATGCCTTTATCTTTGTCGAGGAAAATTGTCAGGAAGATAAGAATTTTTACGATTAGATATTAAACAAATTAATTAAGGAACAAGGAGACTATTTATTGCAGGGTTAGGTTAATCCAAACTGAATATATTCGTCGCCATATTGGTCATCCGTGACCGTGACTAACACTGATATAATTATTACTCGTTAATGGAAGAAGCTACAAAAACGTTTCCCGAAAAAAAGTAGGTACTGCTTTCGTTAAATGTGGTAAAAAATATTCCGAAACACTGCTACTTCACGGAAACTAGGAAAATGACGAAGAAAATTCAACTTCTGAACTCTCGACGCTGATTTAACCCTTTAACCGCTTCTCTGTACGATGCCAGAGGAATACCATTTACCCGTGCGCGGTTTTTCCTCGGAGTTCGCGCTTTTCCAACCCTCTGAATAGAAGCCAGACCCCGATTTTTCGAAAGACGCGATCTTTTTACTCGCGGCTGGCACGTGCCGTTTTGCACGCGCGGACTTTCGCGTCTTTCGTCGGCCGGAACTATTCGGAAGGGATTTAATTTTCCGGTGCGAGTACCGGCCGCGAGAGTTTGCAGGGTGAAAATGTTGCACTCGACCAAACCCGGAAATTACACGTAGCAATCGGTTGGAATTCGTGGAAAACAAACTCGAAGCGGTCAGATTAGTTTCGTAAATAAATCGAAACCCTGTATCGGCACATTGTTTTTTAGGCTATCAAATATCACACGGAGTCGTTTAGGAAGTAGTAAAATCTTTTACACAAATTCAATGAAATACTTTCAGGTACCCAGTTTAGGGCTATGAAATTAGAATGTTCAAGAAGAGGTAAAGAAGTTTCATATTTTCAATCACTTTGTGATACTTCAATAGAAATCGGTATCCTGTGAAAAAAATCGTATTTAACGATATGAAATGAATAATAAATAACGGTCTTAGGAATTTATACTGGAGAGCTAAATCTTTAAAAGGAACATGTCGCTTAAACAAATTAGTTAAAAATGATATTTATTTGGGGAATATGAACATCATAAATAAACGAGGGTGGTAGAACGAGCCGCGGTACCGGTGCTCTCTGTCGGTGCCGACGCGTGCCGAACGATGCCGAAGATGGTCGGAGCGGGCGAACAGAAGAGAGCGAGAGCGGTAGAGCAAGCCGCGGTATCGGTGCTCTTTGTCGGTGTTGACGCGTGCCGAGGAATTTCGGTGGTCTATGGGGGGAGGTGTGCGAGCGAGAGAGTACGGTAGAGGGTGCCGCGGTATCGGTGCTCTCCGTCGGTCCAACAAGCTAGGGACGTTGCGTCACACAGTTTATAGACCTAGCCGTGTACGCCGCGTACCAAGGCCGTACCTGGCCGTACCATCTGGTGTTTGGGTCGTTCAAGGAAAAGGTCGTTCAAGCCGGCAAAAACAATTCATCACGAACAAACCTGCGTACGCCCAATACATAACGGCGTTAGCTTCCTCAGTTTGTCGTGAACCGTCGCGGAGGGTGGGCGCGCGTCTCATACTCGTCCTTTCTCTTGTTACTAATCCATTGTTTGTTGCAGGCATTCGACAACTATGTTATTTTATTTACTGTGCATATTATTAATCTATTTACTGTGCATATTGTTGTGTCCCCTCTCTTGTTACTAATCCCTTGTATGTTACAGATGTTCGAGAACCATTGGCTTCGATATTTATCTTCTTATGTACTGTGATTTATTTACTGTGATTTATTTACTGTGCATATTATGTATTCTATGTGTATTGTATAATGAAAAATATTTTTCCAAACAGTTATTCCATCGAAAGAAGACATCGATCAACGTCTACATCTTCAAAGCGTGCGTCTACCACTGCGTTAAGTTACTGTAAGTTAAACTTAAATCATAATTCGATATTCATTGTTATATTCATATTCATCATCACATCGTTTATTATTAATTTTAGTCTATCTATTAATAGACTTAAATTGTGATCAGCCATTGTGCATACCAAGTTATTATTAATTCATTTTGCTCGTTGATTTCTCTACACAGACTTGGGGTATGGGCAGTGGGTCTGTACCTATTATGGTACGGGCAGTGGGCCTGTGCACTAAGACTGTTTGCCGATCCCTCTGGTTTCTATTGAGAAGCCAGATATCGGACGTGTTTAGTCTTTGCCTGGTAAGTAGGATTTGGAGTAAAGGCTCGTGCGCGCCTGGGTACAACGTACCCGCCTACGGAGTAGTCGGGAGTCTGCTCCGTAAAAGGACTCTGTTTTACAGGGGATCTCGCTTGCACTACCATACTTGGTCATGACCTGTGCTCGGGTCTGGTACGTAGGTGACCAGCCCAAAGGGCCTGGAAAGTGAGAGATGGATTCGGGTTTGCGAGGTTGCGCCCGTCTTTCCTATTTTCTTAAACCAGGTTCTGGCAACACTTTGATCGCGATACTTGTTCATACTGTAGTTTAACGTGGTTCATCGTAGAATTAATTTTTGGCTTGGTATATTAGGTGCGTAAACGAAATGATCGATGGAACTTTTTCCATTCCGTCTATCTCTTTCGTTTGAGTATTAGCGACTACATTGCGTTAAATTTGTTATTTCGTATTACTAGCATTAATTCGTATTAATTAGAATATTAAGATAATATTAGTTCTAAGCTGAAGAACGAAGACAACCGACGAGGGAACTTAGTTTTTTATAGGTTTAGGCTCAAGAAAGAAGTCATCCGCCGAGGGATTTTAGTATCGGTAGTATTATATAGTTAAGATTTAAGTAATTTATAAGGTTTATTGTGAAAGGTGGGTAGATGTAGAACTTGTGATTCCATCTACTTGCCTTGGGCCTTCACTCGCAGCAACCTCCTCGTGGTGAGGCCTGGGCAATCTGTATTATCATCGGTAAAGTACTGTAAACTGATGATAATATTGAGCTAATGGCTGCGAATTTCGAATCTATCTCATAAAACCACGTTCTATATTACATCGAACTAGAATTATTTTAGAAATCGATATGAAATTCAAAGTGTAAAAATGTCTAGTACTTTGAATGTTTTAGAAAATTATTCGAGATAAAGATGTATAGAACTACTGGAAATTACTTTAGATTCCTTTTCCTTATTCTGTAAATTCTTTGATTGGAATATGAATGCTGCTAGAAGTATGAACATTTTTACAGGATAATGATATAAATGGAACTTTAAAACTTTTTTTAAGCGTTACAGTGATATTTCGTTATATGTTCCATAATGTGAATAATAGTGATTTTCCCGCAACGTCCATAATTATTACAAATGTCAATATAACGAAATACCTTTTATGCGATGTTTGTGGTGTAATACAAATCTGTATTTCGATTACGTTTTTGATACATATTACTCACTTATATGTAATAATATAGAATAAAAATATACTTTTAGTCCGATATTTGAAAATAAACATGCGTTCGTTGTGACTGTTACACTGTTGTAATAACAATGGAATACTAAAATAATTTACTCAAATATACATAATACATAATACATATACATATTCATAAAAAACATATTAAACGCAATAACTTTTTTGTACGCGAAAAAAACCAATAGTTCCGTCGGGACTGGAACCCAAGACTCCTTTCTAATACGTCTACTTTACAGCGAACGGACGTAGTAACGAATACAATAATAGAGAAATGGGGAGTTATACATGAAACTGACAGTCTGCAGAAATGAATATGTATAGAAGGTGTCTCATTTAAGTGTGATCCAACGAATATCTGTTTTAATTGTAGAAGCACAGCAAATATTTTATGCATAATTTGAATTGTATTAATGTTAGTATCCTGCAGGCGCTGTTGACCACTCGATACCATTCAAATTACGTATAAAATATTTTGAGCATTTTCACAATTCAAAACATAATGAGACACCCTGTATAAAAGTTAATAAGTAAAAACCAGAGTGGTATTCGACGGAATCTACAGACTGTCATAAAAATCAATTTCAAAGTTTTTTATGGGACCGCGGTGTGAACGTGATGAAGTAGATCGGTATCTTAATTCGAGGAGAAAATTAGGGTACGAACTTCCGAGGGTCTCGCCACCGAGGATTTACGAGAATTTGCTGTAAAACAATAGCGTGTGCCAACCGGGGCCGGGAGCTTCATCGATACTAGGACTTGAAAGGGTCGAGCCATTAATTTCGAATAGCCTGTACGAATCAGAAACGGATGAAATATCGGTAGAAAGCGAAATCGTGCGATCGTCGGGATTGAGAGCGGTGAATGAAAGGAGAAAGGAGGAGAAAAGACTCTGTGGAGGATCTGTTCGAGCCAACTTGAAATTCTGACGGTGACCATGGCATTACAAGTGTCCATGGCTTTGTTCCGATGAAATCTCGAGTTCCTCTCTGTCTTCGTGAAATGTTTCACGAAATCCAATTTAGTCTCGACCAAAATGAGTCCTCCCGATAGAAACAACGTTAATTAACGACGACGAGAAGCGCCTTGTTATTTTCGTTCGTGTGATTACTTCACTATTCCTTTAATTTGTATGTTTTAATATAATATCAATTCGGCAGTTTAGATTGAAAATATCAAATGTTGTTTGTGTGCTCGCATTAATTAGAGGGGTCCACGATACCCGAAGCTACTTTTTGTTGCGCAGTGTTATTCAAAGACTGGTCACTTTATCGATTATTAATTAGAGGGCCGTTACCTCGCATCGGCTAGAAAATGAAAAAACGAGCCTTGTCTAAGAAACTTAATTACAAAGGTGCTTACAGAAATCTACGATACTAATTAGATACTAATTGAGAGACAGAAACGCGAGGCTGAATCTATCTTGACTTTCTTTTCGTTTATCGAGTTACCTATTAATTACACGCATTACGTCACATTTTTTTTTCGCGAACTCGAATCTGTATGAATCAAGGTATCATAAATTAAGGATTTAAAATTTATGGTATGCCTTTTTCTTTCTGATTAAAAATAAAAATTAATTTTATCGTGTTCCAGTTAAAATGGTATCTATTTGAATCGGTAAAGAATCAAAAATTAAATCCACGAAATTGTCGAGGATATACGCCATCCGATAGTAATTCATGTGCACTGAATCCTTAGGCGGTTACTCAACTTCGACCGGAAGAATGATTAATTCAGCGTTCATTGAACAACTCTAATTGAAATGAGAACTCTTAATGCTCGAGATCCAATTAGGGTCGCGTCGATCGATCCCCGGAGTCACGTAATTTTCCGTGGGTAACATTTCCGGTCTTTTCTTCTTGCGGCCACGTGAGTTATTAACATTCCCCATCGACGCACGCGTCGAACTGACTATCGATTCGATTCAGGCACCGGTCGACGATCGAACGAGCAAACACAGAACGATCGTGACTGCGTACAATCATCGATTTTCGAGGAATAACATGAATCGTGTGAAACTCACCGTTTTCCTACCGCCTGGCATTTTTTCACGATTTTACGGACCTTTGTGAACTGATCAATGAATCACTCGGCGAGCCGCTTAATCAAGCGTCGATTTAATTGGAATATTTACTACCGATATTTACTAACAGGTTTTGTATAGAACCCACAGCAAGTACCGATGAATTTTGTATTTAAGTAGAACTTTATAGCCTTTTTAAATTTTAATTATTTTACTAGTACCTACTTTTAGTTTACATATCGTTTATTTATTCAAATATTCGTGTTTAAGATTGTGTTAATTCGCGACAAAATTCTCGTCTCGACCCGACCCGATATTTTCGGGTTCTCGCACATCTCTAATGTATATCATGAATATTTAAATAATACTGCAAAATATGTTTGTCCAAGTAGCTACTGTATTTAGATATTAGCAGTCGCGTAAAGTCTCGTGTGATTCGGAAAATTCGCGTTTCTTTCCGGTTTTCACGGAGTCGCTTAACACGAAGGACGTTAGACGCGCTCGTTAATTACGTTCCCCGCTGCGCTACTGGCAATTAAGTTCGGAGAGACCTGGTATAATTTTGCCGGGGTATCAACGTCGGAGTTCACAACGAGTTAATGTCCCGACGGTTTGTCTCGCATGAAGATTGCGTTCGTGTGTTTTCGCTTTCGAGGGGCACGTATTACACGATCCTTTACGGATCTAAAACATCATCTGATTATTAGTCGTATTAAATGTATATGGGCGTTTCATAATTTGCGCACATAGTATGCTCGAAACCTGTTTCAACAGAACTACAAGTGTAACTACACCATTACTATGGAAATAAGTTGGAAATAAGTCCATAAAATTTGGAGTTAATTCGTTCACTCATATTTCCGTCTAGTGTTTCTGCATTGAGTGAATTTCCTCTGACGAATAATATTCAACGTACCTACTCGTACGTTAAAAAAATAAAATTTTTAAATTCAAACGAACATTAGGAAATTGACGGTTGATTTCCATTCGCCTTTTTAATTGATTAGAAATCATCGTCGACAAATGTTAAATAATAAAATACATACAAGCTTTGTAACCATTAGACTGCTGGGTATTGTTTAACTCTTGAACGCCCAGTGTTGCACCGGTAAAATGCTCATTTTAAAAGTGCGTCAAATTCTGCCTCCGATTAATATCTAACTTTTGTCAGCAAAGATCCGTAACTTCACCGATGTGAAGTAGATCTCCACGTTTTTAGTTGAGAAATTCACGTATTTCTTCCAAAAATATGTCTGTTTAATATCGATATTTTCAATTCCAAAATAATAAGATACAACATATACCTCTATCAGTTTTATAATTTTGGAATACCAATTTAAGGGTCTAGGTGTGAAAGGGTTAACACGCAAATGGAGACCTGCATCGATCATTTTTGGAGCGTATCTACAATTGAACATATCAGTAAAATATACAGCAAATGTAATATCAAAAGGCTTTTTATCGAGAATATTACTGCAAAGTTTATAGAAGCTTCCGTTTTTATTTTCAGAAAAGAATCTGAAAAGTCCAGTGTGACGAAAATTTAACACCGGAGGGGATCGTTACGGTACGTGTTAGAGAGGATGTTTCGTGTATGGCCACAGGTGAGCCTCCCGTCGGATGTAAGGTTTCCAAAAAGGTAAAAATACACAATGACTACTCACTCTGCAGACAGTCCGCGTTGAGCAGATCCTTGCACTTTTCGTGGCACTTGACACCGCACTCCGTGCACCGCACCCCTTGGCGAGCGATGCCCCAAAGAAGGCCCTCGCACTCGTAGCAGTAGGTCGGCGATGTCGCCGTCCAGGTGACGAATTTGTGCGGCGTGGTCGAGGAGATCGGGTAGATCATTGCCTGCAGCGTTTTCTTGTACACGTGCATCTTCTGCGGGTTTTTCAGCGTTGCACAGCGTTGTTAAAACCAGCGTACATGATGGGGCACGAGGGTTTGGGGGATGGGAAGGGGTTGGGGGTTGGAAAGACTTTGAACACACAACTCAAACCACCTCGGCTCCGCTGTTTGTACATTGGACTACTAATCTTAAATGTTTTTTTTAATGAAGTTTGTAAAAAGAGATCCGTTGAAAGTGTGAAACCAGGTTTTATGATTTCAACTTTACTGATTTATAAAACGGGGGAGTATTGAAGAAAAGGTAAATATTATTGTAGTAGCAGGGGCCGTAAATTTATAAAAAAAAATAGATACAGTGAAATAGTTCCACGGTGCGCTATTTGCGTTCAGACTCATGGAATCGGTTTGTAAAATAATATTTTTTAACATTATCAGCCTGGTCTCGCACTGTTCGTGTTTCCTCTATGAATGTTGAAATTTTATGAGCTGAAAGGTTCATTTGGTATTCGTTCTGTAATTGACTGGCAGCCAAGAGAAGTAAGAAAATGAAACTGCCAAGAGACGAGCAATTGCAGCTCGCGACGACCATCGAAAATTTGATCAAGGAGCTTGACGCGCGCAATTCGTTTTAAAGGAAAATTGACATTTCAAGCGAATTGCTGTCCCGTGTTTCATAGAACTCCAATTGTAAATGTATTAAATTCAAGGGATCATAACTTTGCTCCCAATCCTTGAACAATTTTAAATTTTCACAAATTTCCAGTACATTCAACCAAATCAATCGTTTGTTCCAAGACATTAAAATTGTGTGTCTTTTTCTACATTTTTTTCAAGCACGTATAGATATGTCTTATTGCCAGTCAATTTAGGGAATCACTAAAATTCTTCCCGGGATCTCGTTCGGTTTCTAAAACTCCTAATTCAACCATGTATATTTACAATCGTGTAAAGCAATTTACAGGTATGAACAGCAAAAGATACACAAGATTATCAACTATCGTTCAAATTTTTCCATGTTCTCTTGATTCGAAACTCTATGACGTCTAAGAATTTCTAAGATCTCTGTTAACGCGTCCCAGAAAATATTGCATGTTTCAAGAAAATCATAAATATACACAACAAATAATTTCCATCGCGATCTATCGTCTTCTGTCATCGTTCGGCAACCATTCCTCTATCACAGAAAATTAAAAACCAACAACCAACATATATATATATATACACAGTTGCGCAATATTTTCTGCGACATCCCAACATCGTCATGCAGCTATCTGCAATGGATCCTCTTCGATCAGAGAGCCGAGGTGTCGTTCATCCATCGAAATCCCAGAAATAGTCAAAAATAATTTGCCCAGAGTAATTCTCCAGAAAACTCAAGAATTCTTTTCGATTTCCGACCATGTCTGCGTTTTCGACCCATTCGATCGTTCGCACCTCTATCGAACACACGGTACACACTCTCATGCAGAGTCAAACGTAATGCAAGACGGTCCCATACACGCTGCCAGTCGCGTCATCCACACACTAGCACTCGCGTATAGAAAGTTACCCGCGAGATCATAACGTGCCGGGAGCGTTGGTGCCTGCGAGACCTAATTACATACGCATATCCTGTGTACACAGATTAAACAGGGGTTTGAGGGGGGCATATCTGGGTGGGATGGTTCAGCCGCGTGTGTGTGTGTGTGTGTGTTAGCGAGATTCGCAAGGATCACCGTCCGCAACACGACGCCTGATGTCGCAAGGTATCGCGGTGCGGCGTCCTTTCGAACATCCTCTAACAAGAGAGAGAGGGGGAAGCTAACAACGCGTGGGAGAAGCCAGACGAGGAGGCTAATCCTTTAACTGTTCCGGACGTGTATTTGTCCTCGTTAACTGTTCACGCTGGCTGCGCTGGTTCTCTTTGAACCTACGGTAAGCAAGCTTGGTCCCCTTTTTATCTTTAACAAATATCACCAACTAGACCAGATTTATTTTTAAATCGACATCGTCATTTCGGTTAATTTACTTAACCCTCATCCGTCTCTTGTGTCCATCCGACAGATTTTTCTCCTAAAAAATCACGTTATTCTGTCATGTGTAAGTAAATTAAGCTAAAACTTCGTGATTTTTACATTAAAGAATTTGCAAATTTAATTATTTATCACTTCGTTATATTAATTTTTGCCACCGGGTGAATTTAACATTAAGTTGGGTAAATCAGGAACGGATGAGGGTTAAGGGACACGTTTGATCTTTTATTGAACTTTTATAGATTTGTGCTTTTCATCTTTCCACGATGGACTCTGTCGCGTGACTGTAGTGATCTATAAAATGACGGAGTTTCTCGTTTTTATTTACGAAGCCACGGAAAGAAATCGGGCGAGAACCGACTGAAATCCCATTCGATGGATTTATAAAATATTAAACGATTCCCGGTTCGAAATATACTGTATAAAAGAGCAGAAGCATATTGGTTCGGAACGGTGTGCTTCTATTTATTTTCATGTTGGTTTTTATTTTCGATACATATATGTCCCCAGCGGAGCCAGCGTTCTCCAGCTTCCGAGGATCCCCCGCTCGGAATTGTGAGGTTAGGTTGTGCTACGGAGGTTCCTCGAGGTTTTCGGGATCTATTTCTTTTCGTGTCTCTCGGTCGCGCGGGTCGTCGCACCGAGCACGGCCTCTCTCGAGGACCCTTCGGCTACGGTTCTTTTCACTCGATTTTTATCTTTCTCTCGTATCGACACTTCGAAAGGGCTTTTCGCCTGGTCGGGACGATCGAGAAGCGGAATTTTATTCGGACATTTTTCTCCCTCGGCAAAACGGTACTCGTTTTCCTATCGATTCCGGCGAACATCCTTGACTCGCGATCACGTTGTTCACTTTCTTTTTTCACGTTTATTTTACTTTTCTACTTTAGTTTTTCGAAAGTACCGGGTACTTCGAGGGAGAAACAGCGAGAGAAAGAGAGAGCGAGAGAGAGAGAGAGAGAACACGTTTTCTAGGTGTCGCACTATTGGGGTCGCTCTGCAAGGGATGTAAAAAGCATCGATCCGCTAAAAAGCACTATGGGGGGTGTTCGCGCCGTGATCTTCTGGATGTTCCTCATTTTTCCGACTATTTACCCTCCTGTCGATTTCGATGTAGTTTCACCGGTTCGACAATCCTATTATCGTCGCGGACATTTATCGGTTATTTCGATACGCGTTAAATTTTGCTACAACGGTTGACACATTATATCGTGGTAATTTGCGAAAAGTGTCAAGCAATATACACAACTCTCTGGAAACGTTAGTTTTGGTTCACGGGAAATATTATATCATAGGATAAAGTTTCACCAAGTTCGAAAGCCAACGCAAAATTTGATACTGAAAGTTCGTTTTTACAATTTTTAACGGTTTGCAGGTCAGTTTTGTTTTACCTTAGGCTTCAATTAAATACTCGTTAATGAAAGAATAGAATAGAAAAACTCGATGAAATAGTGCAGTGCAAAGGATAACTGTAAAATTCGAAACCCAGATATTTCTTTAACAACAAATTGGAGGACTATAACATTCTCCGTAATAAATTTCTAATCGTATAATTAACTCCAGTACACGCGACAGCGTTATTTGATTTTCATTCCGCGAGCGCAAGGAACATCCGGTATCACGGGACAGGTATCGGAGAGACCTAGCTCTAGCCTAATTACACCCGGTTTACATGACCACTGTAGCATCTCATATCCACGGATATCCTATACGTGACCGACATACACACATATACATCGCGACCGTGCGTTAACCGTGACGACTACTACGCCCGCGGTTAGAAGAAACGACTCGTCTAGGATCGCTACGAACGTTGCTTGTCTCAGAGTCACAGAGCGTGATCAAACAGAAATAGAGATAGCGAAAGAGAAAGATAGAGAGATAGAAACAGATAGCAAGAGAGAGAGAGAGAGAGAGAGAGAGAGAGAGAGAGAGAGAGAGAGAGAGAGAGAGAATGGAAGAGATTGAGAGAGATAGAGAGTTATAGACAGAAAGGCAAAGAAAGATAGATAGATTGGTAGAAGAGACAGTTCGAAAGAAAGAAAGAAAGAAAAAGAGAGAGAGAGCGAGATAGAGAGAGAGAGAGACAGAGGTTGGGCCACACTTACGTGAAAGAAAATAGCGCGGAAATGAGGATAAAATGCAGCACAGTTCATGTGAAAAGAAAGAAAGTTATCAGAGGTTAAAATTCAGCTCCACGGAGAGAGCGTTTCACCGGATACGCGGGGATGTATGTCGCAGCTTAAAGTTAGATGACGCGTGTCTTACGTTCTAGGCGGGGGTGGGGGGCATGAGCGTAGATCTTTTGGTCCCTATTCTGAAATTGGGTCGCTAACGTCGACGGCGAGGCTGACAGGCCTTAGAGGATTTAATCGGAAATTAAATTCCATCACGTTGATTCTTTCCCTAATCTGACGCTTCTTCTTTATCATTTTTTCTTACGATATATTAAGGATTCCGGTTGTTGGAATTACCGTCTCGGTATTAGCGTGGCCAGTTTCAGTGTGGACAGTATGCGTGTCTGATTTTGATTGTCCGTCGAACATTAATGCACGGAGTTTGATAGCTAATACAGATGAGACCAAATAAAAAGTCAATCAAAATAGTCAATTGTACAGGGCGATAGGGAACCCAACGGATAATGTACGTTTGGTAAGGAAGTTCCTAGACCTGATCCGGGCTGTAAAAGATCCGACAGACTCGATACGATCCTCACAGAATTAATACACCTGATAAGAAGCTCGATAGACGGTAGATGACTCAACAGACTTGGTATAGATGACAGGAAACTCGACAGACCGAATAAAATAAATAGACTAGAGAGTTCCTAGAGAGTCCTAACTCAATGGCCCCAGTACTGGGGGTTCTTGTGGTTCATGTGAGTCTTGGATACCTTGGAGATCTTTAGTCCTAGGGACCTTAGAAGGTCTGTGGGTCTTGTTACCCAAACAAGTCATAATGGGGGCCCTTAGGACTCCCAGATCTCCAGAGAATTCTGACACATCCGTTCCCTTCCTAGGTGTCTCAGACGTTTTTGTTGGAATCTCTGTGATTTATGCCGGGTCTATTGGGTTCTCTACCGTTTGTTACCCACCATTATTTCCACGTTTCCAAACGTCCCTAATAGCATCTTCATTGATATTACTATACTGTCCTGGATCATTCGTATACTTTAATGTCCTCAGAAATTAATACACACGGTACACACTTAAACTGGCACACATTGTGTATCCCTTTCACGATTCCGTTACTATACCTATATCTGTACGTTATCTGACCACGATTTTATTTTTCTCTTAACAAAACGTTCGCAGTTGCTTATCGCTGTCGCGCGACGTTCCAATCGACTGTTAAGGAACCCTGTCCCCGTCGTTTCGCGACACAGCAGCGCGACTACCATCGGGTTTCCCCGCTACGCCGCGTGCATCCAAACGAAAATTGTACTATCAAGATTTCTCTAATGGACACCGCTGAACGTATTAAAATGCTCGACTCGGGGCGAGGGGGAGATTGTAACCTCCCCTTAATTTCAATCTACCCGTCGACTTTGCGCGGGAAACGATCCTTACCGCAGCCTCGGGACAGCAGTCTCTCTCGTGTTCGAAGGCCGCCAGGACGTTTCAACGAACGCCGGAAAATTGATTCCTTTTGATTGTGCGTCACGTTTCCGACACATCTACGTCCCGAATCTCTATGTTCCGTCTCGATAAGGGCTTTTTTGACAGGTTTCGCGATGAAAAACGATCGTTCCTTCTTACGTTCCCTTTACTACATCAACCGAAAAAAAATGTCCGAAGCGTTGATTCCGATAGAAGACTAAATTCCTTTCATCTCAGAATTAAACTTTGAGACATTTCGGGGTTACGTTGATTCTGAAGGATAAATACTTCGTGACAGCTGGGGGGAGGATCGATCGTTTTTCACGCGGAACACGAGATACGCTCGGTTATTCCGTCCCCCAATACGGCGTGATGACAAATTCTTCTCGATTCGTTTTGATAGACGACGCGAGAGATGACGATGATGCCTGTAAGGACATTGGTTAAAGGACGAATTCTTACCAGCTCCTCGTCGTTCAGTGTTGCTCTGGGCACCGCCGATGTTAGACCTGCCGCGTTCCTCTTCGTCGCCGCCATTGTCTGGGAAAAGATAAAAATTAATGCTCATCTGATTCTGAAACAATGCCTTCCAGTCTCTCTATTGTGTGGACAGAGATATAAAGAGCAGGAAGAGAGAAACTGAAAGGGGGAGAAAATGACGACGATGATGACGACGTGGAAAACGATGAAAATAAAACGAATAAAAAAAGTGTGTGTGCGTGTGTGTCTGTGAGTGGAGATATGAGAAAATATACATGAAACGATTTTCAGCGTGATTTTACGAGAGATATACAGATTTCTGAATACATAGAAACTCTACATATAGTCTCAAGAAAATACAGTGCTTCTAATTGCGATCGATATCGTTTAGAAGGAAAACACAGTTACTTGCGAAATCATTGAGAAAACATATTGCAGGAACATGATATCGAACGTTACATTTGGCATATACGTTCGTTTTCTCTAATAACATTTCAGCGTGAAAATATATAAGCTTTACACAGTGACTGCTGTTCTTATCAGTGCTGTATCTGTACATATTCCTTTATGCCAAATATACTTGAGATATCTGTATTGCTGTTTACAAATACTATTTACAGACATGATAAAATGTGTTTTATTTACATTGGCTTGTCTTAAAGCCGTGCTTTGAGCGGAGAAGAAATTACAGCGAACACTATTGAGAAGTAACTTCGTATAAAATCGCGTTCTCGAGCAACAGAACCATTTAAATTCACACTAACGTTGAAAAAACTACTAGACATCTAGATCGAAGAGCTCTGCTCAAACACGAATTCCTATCCCCGCATAAAAAAACATTAATCCATATCGAAAAACATCGTATAAACGGTGCAACGAATCGACTAATAAATCTTTGTCAAGAGATAAAAATAACAGGGGTCAGAACGTGGTCGAATAAAACCTCCAAAAGAAAAAAAAAGAAAATACGACGATGACAGGCTAAAAAACAGAATCAGATAAAACGGTTTGATAAGAAGGTGAGCCTGGATTAATGATCGATTAACGAAAAATGAGACAGTGTATGTGTGTGGGAAACGGAAACACAAGAGTGTATAAAATTAATGGCGGAATGACGATCAAAAGGCGGAGCAAGATAGAAAATGGTGAATCTCTACAGAGAGAATCTAATTCAATTAGCTTATGGCGCCGTGGTAGGTGTGGCGCGACAGGATTTGCGGCCTGGGCTAGATTTCAATTAAGATATTATTGCACGGGGCCCCGTGCTCGATGCATGCGCTACTGTCTGCTTCCCATGGACAGACGCTAATTCCAGAGCACTAATTTCGCGCCTCGCCTACCCTTCCTCTCCAACCCTGTACATTCTATCCAGCTTTTCTACACTCTCAAGCGTGTTCGTGGTGTGATAAGCGATTATTTTATTTTCTGCACGGGGCACCGTGATTCCCCGACCTCTAACATTTTTCCTTTTACCCCGCTTTCGTTTCACGAAAGTGAACAATGAATACACCCACAAGGAGGTGAATATAATCTTGCCACAATCCTTCATCATCAAATGGGCGCATGGATAAAGTTCAGTCATTCTTCCTGGAGGATCTTCAATTAAAATATTATGTTTTTTGTATTACGAATTGTGGTTATTAATATGACATTCGTATAATATATTTATACTCTGACAGTATCCGCAGAAAGAACAAATGAACTGTTCCTACAGCTACTTATTATAAGCTTCTATGACCGTTTCCGGTCCTTATACTATAATCGTCCGAGGATCTTAGATCCCCTGTCGTTTTTACATCCTAATGATGTAATGTCTCGCACACTACCCCTTTCTTCCATCGACACAAATTTTATATTGTTCATAGTAAACAGAAGCTGTGTCAGGGAGAAAGGCAAAGCGTCCGAAAGAAGACAACGCTGTGGTGACACGTATATATCATCGCGAAGCGGTCGTAGGAATTGGTATATATATATATATTCTACGCGTGATTGATCGGCTGGTTGCAATCTAACTACGACAACACGGAGACCTACTCACTACGGTCATTATTTATGTACGTATGCTTCATGCGTGACCACGATCCATATATCGTGACGATTCTCCGTGCGGGTATACACTCAGAAGATTAAAATGTCAAATGAAATCACGTGCAAAAGCGTATCCGATGGAATCCTCGGGAGAGAGATAGAGAACGGTCCTTTTTTTCTCGGGACGATCGATCCGATCGATTTCGCGTTCCGTTGCACACGGACGAAACACGGACAACCCTTTCGATTCTCCGGAGGATTCGACGGATACGTTGATTATTATCCAACGCAGAAACGTGGACTAGCACGACTACAGAAAAAACGTGACGAAGAGCAAAACAGGATCGCAAGATCGCGCCTGCAGGATTACGGAACGATCGAGCAACGTTTTTATCCGCGGGAAGGGTCGACAAAAACGGTATCGAACCATACAATGAAAATAAATTGAAATACTTTTCTTTTTTTCGCCACCTTCCGCTAATTAATGGGTGTCTCAGCAAGATTATTTCCCTTTAATTTAATTGTTTGTTTTTTACATTTTATTATTGATATCTTCAGAGTTAGTAATGACATTAAACATGAATTAAAATGTCGGTTAATTTCAATTTCGCAGTACGTATTGGAGTAAGGGCCGGTGGATTTTACGAATTTGAGTCTTTGAATTGTCTCAGGGTGGTTTCCATAGACCTTACTTTTCAAAAAGCCCCAGAGGAAATAATCCAAACAGGTTAAATCGCAACTTCTTGCCGGCCAGCTTTGGTCTCCAAGACGAGAGATGACACGACCTGGAAATTTGGTTTGTAACAACGTTTGTAATGTTTGTAATGGGTTTTCATTATTAACAAACGTTCTTCCAAAGTGTACGCGTCATTTTCGTAAATGTCAATGTAGTAACTAAAAAGGCGCCAAATATGACTGACTTCCCATTTGACAAACGAAAATGGCGCGCGATTCGAAATTCAAGTTCTTGCTGAGACACCCTTTACAACGATATTATGCAACGCGACACGATGGCTGGAACCGAGCTGTAATTATGTCGCGACACGCGATACGAGCCCGCGCGGTGTAACGCGTCGCTGCATCAATCCTTCAATTATAAAATCTCCATTTACGTGGCTACGGGGGCTAGGATTATGCGTGAATAATTAAGTCGATTATAGTAGTTACTAAACGAAGGGAGATATTCCGCGTTGCTCGAGCGAACCGTAGCCCGTGTGGCTTCGAACGAAATTCACGTTGTATGGTAACCAGGATCGGAAACGATAATTAAAGAAAGAAGGAAAAGGGTGGCACGGCAGACACATGTGAAGGGATATATAGGGTGTTTCACTTGACGTGAGCACTTTCGATACCCCACTTGTTCGTGACGATATAAGAGAATTGTAGTGAAGAAGCAAATATTGTGATAAGCAAAAATTGTTCTCAAGGTCATATTTTTCGAAATTTTAACGGTATCGATGTTTTTTTTTAAGTGGGATTGTGTAGATTTATCAGCGTGGCGTAATAGCTGGGATCAAGACCAATCTAATGATCTATAATAGTGTGACCTTCATGTGACCTTGCGTACGAAAAATCGATAAATGTATGAAAATAGATTTAAATAATAAAATAACTACGATAGGGGGATTAAGGCAAAAATGTATCGGATTAGATGGACATCGTTTTGAGCATTTATTAAATGAAATTTTCTGCAAATGAAAAGCAAGTTAGGTATTAAAGGTGTTCAGGTCAGGTGGGACACTGTATATTGTTATGTCGTTACGGTTAGGTGCGGAACGCAAAAATCGAGAGAAACGAAAAACGGATGCGTGTATGTACATTACTGTTGGCAACGAAGAAGACGGAGAAAGGAAAACAGGCAACGAGGCATGCGCGCTACGTAACGCAAAAGTAAACGAGACAAGCCTTTTAATTTAACTTCGTTAAAGGAGGCATTTGATTTAGTACCTTCAAGACCTGGAGGTCGAATTTTTGAGATTTTTTGAGAGGTTTTTTTTGCAGTGAGTGGTTTTGTATTTTTCAGGTGTTCAGGTGGATACAACAACGGGCGCCACAGAGAACAAACAAAGAAAATGGCATGATATGCCGGTTAGTAACGTATATCGGTTGCATCTATTTCTGGGTAATTTTTTTTTTTGCTTTTTCTTTTGGAATAGCTTTGTATGTTAACGGGTGACAGATACATTAAGAGGTCAGAGGCACGAGAGGCACAAAACGTAAATCGGGAACGTATAAATGTTCACCGGGACGGAACAATCTTCTTCTAATTCTGCAAGTTTGCCTACAAAGATACTCGTTTATTAACTAACATTTTCGAATAACTAGGAAACGATGATTCTTGGTTTCGCGCGGGAAGAGGATATACGTTTAAGTGTCGCTCTTCCTAGAGAAGATTATTCCCGGTCGGTGAACGTGAAAACCGAAAATTACTGGGACTCGGGCGACGCCGTTCGCGTTTTCCACTCCGTTGGTTTCGTAATTCGCCGCCGGGAACGTCTGTGGCGCTGCGCTCGTGAATTAAAGCAAGCGTCGCAAGTATTACTACGCGATCGAGACGCCATTTTGGTTCCCAGTGATTTTCACGTGGCTTTCGAGCGTGTATCGTTTGACCCCTCGTTTCCGGCTCGATTCGACTGGATTTGGTACACTTGCACGGACGCGTGGGGTGTCAGGGGCCAAGGTTTTACGGTACACAACAACCAAGAGAAAAAATTGTCGACATCGAACATACAGAAGGGTGACAAACACGGGTCGAACTCTAAGAAGGGGTCTCGGCGACGACAGATTCGAGGAGGGTTCTCTCGATAAGTGGTCGCGTGACGGCGAAACGGCGGACCTCGTGAGTATTCTCGTGGCCAATCCACGGTTTCCTTCGTTCGAAATTATTTCATCCTCCTCCAATCTCTCGTGATGGGAAACACGCGTAATTCCAGGGACGTCCGACCGTGTCGGTTGCACGAGATCTCACACAGAACATATACGCAACGGGTCGAGCGAAAAATCGATCCCTCGCTTTGCCCGGTCCTTGTTTGACGCCAATTTTAGACAATAATCTTTTCTGTCACGCTGCAATTTGCGTTCGTGGATCGAGTTGAACGATTTTAACGCCTCGGTTAATAAAATAATAACGCGTGGCCTGACGTTCTAGACAGATTTTTTTTCGTCAATAGTCAAAATTATATCGAGAACGAACTTGAAGCGAAAAGATTTGTTCAATTAGTGAAGTATTTTTGACGTCGAAGATTTCAAATACTTTACACGATTCTCATAATTTCCTGTACAAAATGTCTTCTTCCGGGACGGTTCAAAGGAATTTCTAAAAGGAGAGACAAAAGCAACCTTATCGTAACCAGCAAAACGGTGGCTTGAAATTCTTATATCTCTTTCTTTCCATTTCTTTTATAGCTTTGAACCTGTATGAAAGTCACTTGCTCCACTTCAAGTAAATTACGAATGTTACTAAATGTGTTTCTCAGAATTTTATGCTGTACTTTGCATGTTTCCACATTTCACGGGGTTCATAAGTAGAATCATAAATATTAATGTCGCCCTTGAAGCAGAAGCACGAAGTTTCCAAGGGACGTAAAATCGAATATGGTGATACAAGAATAATTTTCCCCGAGGGCACCTTTTTCGATAGAAATTTCCGGACTTCAACCAGATTTTGAATCTTCCTAACAAGTTCTTCTTTGACAGCATCATTATATTTGACTCTAAATTCAAAAGAAATATAAAGAACTTTAATTCCATTCTTATTATCATAATAAGGCCATACATATGATTTTCATTTCTATTAATATGACGAACTTTCGATTATTTTTCAATAAAAGATATTTCTAATAGCTTTCGAATATTCCTTAAAATACAATTTCACAGAATTTTCTATCTCTAACCTCCAAGAAAGCAGAGACGAGTGAAAATTACTTCGGTCTGTCCCGTTAACTATAATTTCCTCGTCCAAAGCAATCGCGTAACGGTAAAATTTTTAGGGCAGCGTATGAAATTCCGTTCATTTCAGATCCAGAATTTCAGGCATTGTGTCCCGACCACAATACGCGCCATCCAGTTTGACCGAACCAATTTCGATTCACCCTTCCGCCGTTTTTCGAAAACCGTTCCACCGTACTGTTCATAAATAACATTGTAACAGGCACTTCTTTTCATCTCCTGTCGACGACGGACCCCGTGGCGCGAGCTTAAAAATCGCAAGTAGAAGCACGAGAGCTTCGACGCCACAAGGGCGAGCGTGACGCAAAGCGGCCCCCGGTTTTTGATATACGACATCGTCTCGAGCACGCAGGTAATTGCTGTTACACGCCAACCCGCGTGTCCGACGGAGTATTTCGTTCAAAATTTTCCACTGCAATTAACCCGGCCTTTCGGCCATTGAGTCATTCTTGCAGAAATCTACTCGCGAAAAAAATCTTCTTTTCGATACTCTACTCCCTACTCGTGCTTTCGCGATGCATCTTTTCAGGTAAATTATATTTTATTGTTTTCTAACATTTTTGAGGTTAGGATTTTCTGGCCTAATTGTTCTAAAAGAATAATATTTGTTATGGTTGATAGTCATCATTGAAATCTTTCCTTCAGATTGCTTCTACGTTTTGCACACATAAGTAGTCTATGACTAATTTTCTTCTATTCAATAATTCATTTAAAATTGTTGAGGTGAGGATTTTCCAAATTCTTCTGAAATAATGATATTTCTTAGTTGATAGTCGTCATTGAAATCTTTTCTTAAGATTGCTTTTACCTCAACCATTTAATTACACGGATTCGATGTGTATAATTCAGTCTTACTAAATTATCTTTGAATATTTTGAAAGGAGTAATTCCTCGAAAAATCATGACACATTTTCCCGAATTAGTTTTACAAATACACGATTTGGAACCCATCCATCGTACTTCCATACGTACCTACTTATCCTAATACCAATAAATAAACAAAATCATCGCTAAACAAATCAGTTTCAGCAGCCCGATAAAATCGTCTCCCCAAAAAAATATTTCGTCGATCGGTTCAAGCTCGGCCCGAGTTCGCCCTGTACCGTTTCTGCAATGCAGATCGAGACCGTCCCCGGAATACATATGAAAAAATCATGTAAGTTATCGCGAATCCTCTCTGGAAAATTCACCCTGGAGTGAAAACAAAAAAAACTGCATCATCCATAGGGGGAAAAGAACGGCCGATCGGCGCCGGACTTTCTCCCGTATACATATATACCGGGCGTCAAACAAGCCGCGCCCCCGAAAGGCCGAAATTCGAATTTCAAATTTCGGCTGCTTTTCCGCAACATTTTCGATCGATCCGTTCGCAAATCGCAAGGGGGCGGTGTGTGGGGGCTCGGGGGGAACTAGTGGTGGGCACTTTTTTTTCGGCGAGATGAATTTCGATTTTCACGATCGGGCGGAACTTCGCCCATCCGTGCTCGCCATTCCGGGGATTCGTCGTGTTTCGTACCGACGCAATCCCTGGGAAAATTTTTCACGTTAGCCGTGCGACGATTCAAACCGTTGGAACGACGACGCAAACATATACGCGACGTAAAACCGATGTAATTCGCTTGGCAACGAAAAGCGAAAGCGCGAAACGTTCACACAAGTTGCAGGCTTTGCGACTCTGCGACGAGTGTAGGTACGTTTTTATGTGAACGTTCCCGCTCGGTTTTAATGGCCCCCCGTGTAACAGAACCGAGAAGTCGTTCGAAACGTGATGCCGATTGTAATCTGACCATGGCTGTTTTCTGCTTGGTAGATTTATTGGCTGGTAAAAACACGCGGCAATCTGGTCCATCGAGGACGGCGATCGAGGTAAGGTCGATCTGCGATATAACGTCGGGAAAGTTTTTTCGCCGTTTAATAATTACAATCGACGGTAATTACGAAGGTCGACTACTGTGCAATTCAATTAGGTACGTGATTTATTTGTTGTGAATTTTTGGCAAGCAGAAGTACAGGGACCATCTTGGTAATATGGCGGATTACTCATTGGCACGGACACTGCCTGGCATAACTATAGAACCACCTTAGAATTTTGAATTATTGTGTAGTGTAGTTAAAGGAACCTTGTCTGAAATCGTGTTGAGAAATATTGTTTCTCTAGAAAAGGATAGATTATGTTCCTTAGAAATAAACGTTCATTTTTATTTTGACGACAGTATATTATGATTGAAAATTTTAGGGCGGTTTCATAGTCGTTGAAATTAATAGTTGAGGAAGATAATTAATTGAAAATACGGAACTTTAATGTTTTTCTTGATAAAGTGAAAATTTATCTCAAATAAAATAATTTTATATGATGTATTAGAGTGAGTCGTAAATAATTTTTGTGTCTTTCGTTTTGTAATCTATTACGGTCCAAAATATTTTGCAATAAATGTTAGTCTATTATATAGTCTACATCGTGTTTAACCTTGTTGATTATTACTTAGCGCAAGCCTATTTATATTTGTCCTGAATTTTCGCTATTGGCCAGAGGTACTTAATTTGAATAATCGATGAAACAATTAGTTTTATTCAAGGTAGAATCTAAGGTTTAGATATGGAACATAATAATATATAATTATACTACATTGTATAATTACTAGACTGCGGATTTTTATGCATAATTACATTTTATAAAATAATTCACGAAGACTAGAATAAAACTAGGAATTTCTTCGCTTCCTTAACTATCTTATAAAGTTTTATCCTATGCTGTATTTCACAGATCTCATAAAATCCGTAGTCTATTAATTACAATAGTCAATGTGATATAAATATGTATAACTAGAGTTAAAATAATCTGAAATAATAACTTCTATATTTAAAATCATCTGAAGTATTAGCATCCACCAATTTAATTTTTAAACAAGATTAGACATTATTTACAAAATTGCCTGATATTTACGACTCAATCCAATAACATCCCCCAGAAAAGTAGAAAGCCTGAACAAAAAAATTCAGAACACAGTGCTATAAATGATTGATCCGTCAAACAGCGATGAAAAAAACGACACAAATGTGCATCGTACTTTAAGTAAACGCGATTTGCTTTGCGTCGTCGAATCCAAATTGAATCATCGCGTGGCACAATCCTCGAACGGTAATATAAAATCTCCGACGCGGGATATCCTCCAGCGATCGATGATTTCGTAACGTCGAACGAGCAAAAAAACTGTCTGCAAAAGCACTAGTATAAACGGTGTATAAACAAACAGTGGTTCGTTGACAGACGATTCGCGGCAAATCAACCGCGGTGGTTCATGCTCGACCACCCCGTTCTTCGCGTCGTGAAATGTAATTCCGTTCGGTCAACAACGTCGCTATTATCGTCGTCGTATCTTAAAAATTTTTCCACGCAAAAAAGGTACACGTGTTTGCGATAAGAAAATTGGAAAGAGACCCACACGAGGTGTTAAATCTCTCGATTCAACGGTGTGATCCCGATATCGAGTCGGAGAACAGCAACCCTTACGAATTTGTCGTCGAATCGCCTGGCAACGTCACATTCTGGAAGAATCTTTAGGTTACCGAATGAAAAAGAAAAAAAAAAACGAAAACAAAAACGACGCAACACCGAAAAACGCATGTACACGCAATCAGGTTGCACGACGAGGAGGATGGTTGTTTCGATCTTCGAGGCACCCTCGAGAGACGTTCATTTCTGTTTACTTTTATTTTTCTCTTGCGAAATGGAAATTATTTCGATCTGTTGTACGCGATCGTCTCTCGACGGTGGAGCGAACGGTTCGACGGATATCGATCTCTGATCGAGACAGACCGCACGCTCGACGTCGTCGTCTTGCGGGGATCGAAGGGAAAAGCATTTCAAAGGAATTTCGTCGTTAATTTCCACGAGGACGTGGACACGACGGGGGTGACAGGGGAACAACCGTGAAGGGGACTGAAGCCGATCCGGGACACGGGTCGACGTGTAAAGAGAGAGTTTGCATGGGACGAAGAGATTTTTCTTCTCCACAACACGGGTACAAAGAGAATTGCACAAGTTAAGGAGAGTGGAGGGAACAGCACACTCCGATATGGGATGGTCGAGAAGCACTGGGAACACATGAAGCTCCGATTGATATGTCGGTCGTGGTCGTCGGTTTTGATTTCTTTTAACGTCAACATGCCATCGGTATCTTTACTTTTGTGGTGTAAAATTGTTGGGCAACTTGATCGAAGCTGTATGCAATTATTATTGTGGTCAATTATTATATGTACTTAATGCGTAAAGGGTGAAACACAGGCTGTTAAAAAATCTAAACTGCAAAATATTAACAGGTGTGAGTAGCCAGTATTTTAATCGTAATATCTTTCGCGATTTTACTTCAAACTTTTGAAAGAGATGAGGACATTTGATTCGATAAAGACATTGAAATAACATTTGAAGACAAATTCGAATGAAGTTTTTGAAGTCCTAAAACAGCGTTCTGAACAGCGAAAAAGACGTAAAAGCAGCGAACAATGGTTGAAAATCGAACAACAGGTGTATACTCGAGACGGGACTCGGAAGAATGTGGGAGGTTCGGCTAATTCAGTCATGGAAATCGAGCCTTCGTTCAAGATCGATACGAAGGGGCTTCGAGCTTTACAGGTGTGCCTTAACGGCGCTCTTGGACTTCGTACAATGTCAAGAAATATATCAGTACAGGAGATAATCAGAGTTATATCGATATGTTGATTTTATATTCTTAATATTATTGAAAAATGTATTGGTTTGTAACCGTCACTTGTACAGGCGGTGGATAACGAAACGGCGAACTTGGGAGGTTACTATGTAGAGGAGCCGGTACTAGTCGCGAGGTGAAACTTAACTAAATCACCTGGCCAGGTTAATTCTTTAGGTTGTAAATTTTCTAGTCTGGGATTAAACGCAGTAAACAGTGTATTTTGCTAGAAAAGTATTATTAGATTGCAAACATGGGCTGCGGGCCTACTGACCTTAGAAGTCTGTAAAGATCAGCAGATCTGTGAAGAAGGATTCAACAGGAATAAACGGAGAGAAGTGTATTTTCTACGGTCCCTGAAGGGGTTTTGGGGCCTACTGGTCTTAATCCAATGTGTGAAATAACTCCTTACGGTTATCGAAAATAATTACACACCATTTCGCTGCATCTTATCCGTTAACCTTCGACCGGCGAATCTTGGGTCACTACCCTTTCCTTGGTAGACCAATAAAAATTTGATAACTTTGTACCAAAGGGTATTTATCCACTAAATAAATAAACAAATGAAAAATAGGATAAAAACGGAGCCACGAATCTTATTGTCATTCCTCAGACAAATAATCGTTACTGTCGATCGAAATGGATCCAGTATCCAAGGCAGTCGACCACCAACCGATTCGTAATTTAACAGTTAAAGAATTCCTCGCTCCGAAAGATCGGAAGGGAATTTACGTCGCCCGTTAATCTTCCGTTTAAAGGACGGCAAAAGGAGTCGAACGCAAGAGTTTTCGGTCCATGGAACGACGGTGCTTGGTTAATTAACGACCGTCAACCCGGTTAATTAACTCGGCAGCGAAGTTTCCCTTCCGCGGGCGTGAAAACACGGTGAAATATCCGGGCGACGACCACGACCAAGGCGACGACAACGACAACGACAAGGACGACGACGCCGATGACGACAGTAAATGAGGAATAGGAGCCAGTAAAGAAGGTGGAGGTGGAGGAGGAGATGGTTGGGGGATGACGACGACGATCAACCATGGGAAACGACAACGTTTCCGCGAATACGAGACGGGTCGCGGCACGGATGATGACCCAATACGTGGTGCCACGTATGCGCACCTCTGTAATACATATATCTATATGCATAGTCGCATGGTCGTTGTATGGAGAGAGAAAGAAAGAGAGAGAACAAAATAGAGATTAATGGAGAATTGATTACGTACCAGCTCGGAGACCAATGGCACCGACTTTCGGCGCGGCCGTATGTCCGGCATGCTGTCGATGTTGCTGTAGAAAGGATTGTCGCCGGGATGCCTGGAAAAATAGAGTGGATGTGATTTAAACGTAAGTTTCTTTTATTGGAGAAAATATTGCAGTTTTGAACAGTTTGTATAAATGGTGTATTTGGTTTGTTGGAATAGTTACGTGATTTATTGTCGTATTGTGATGTATTATAGTGTTTTAATGTTGTTGTAGAACTATGTAACATTGAACATTATTCGTTCGATGAGAAAATTGCGCAGTTTTTTAGAATATAGTTCCGAAAGTATATGTCAGAATGGATGTAATAGGATTGAACAAGTATTTGATTCGTTGCAATTGAACGTGGATAAAAGTGATATTAGAATTGTAAAACCTGGGATCCTCTAATTATCGGTTCACTAGGAAATTTATAGAGGCTTCGATCGCGCGGCGATCGCGTGTCGAAGGTCATCTGATCGTAATGAATCTTTTCTAAGCTAGGCCAGCGCCTGAATCGATATCGGATTGAAAGTAATCGAACTTTCGTATGAAACGAGAAACTTCGACTTTGACGAAGATCTCGTCGAGTTACTTAGCCGACAAGAAGTTTCGAGGAGACTCTGCTCACGTCTTACCCTGACCGCCATCATTGCTATCATAAAGAACTTTCGAATTACTTTGTCGTTAGATCGAATTCCCTTGGAACATCAACGAGATCCAGAAATTTCGAAATATTTCTCCAACTTTGTTCGATTTTTTCTGGAAAACTACTAAACATTACACCGTCAAATATCACAATACAGGATGTCTCCGAAAGTTATTGTACAAGCGAGCGTAAGTCTACATGGAAAAATAAGTCGAAAATATAGAAGAAAATTTTTTCATTTGAAACTTCGTCTTCGAAAAAATCGACTTTGAACATCAATTTGAAACGCGTGTATTCGTCGTGATAGTAAGTAGAAACGTCCTGCAATGACCAGACGCACTAGCCAAGTCCTATTCAATTCTACGCGTATGCAGCAGATTTTCAAATTTGATTTTCTCGAAAACGAAGCCTCAAATGAAAAAATTTTATTAAATATTTTTTTCTTATCTTTCTGGAAGGAATCACCTCATATCCACTTGTACATAACTTTCACAGGCGTCCTGTATATCTTATATATAAATACTAAATTCTCCTACAACATCGATTATTTAATAAAAAGAAGGAAAATGAAAACTGACAGATTCGTATATGGTATTAATTAGGAAAGTCGGAATATTTGCGAATGTCCAAAGGGATGACAGTTGATAGTGACTTGACAATTTCATTTATCCTAAAAAGAATGTGTCACGGTAGTTTCCTGTCCGAAGATTTATCGCTTCCCGCGAATAGACGTGACCCAATTCACTCCGAATTCGCATTTAATTGCTCGAAGTCGGCCTGCAGATCGGCGAATTAATGTCGGCCAGGTAGAAGTTTGCGAAGTACGGCGTCACGTAATCCATCACTCGTATACGCCTCGCGCTATTATCGTACTTCCTCCTTTTTTTGTATTTTTTCTTCCTTTAGTAATTTGTTTATTCGAACACGAAGGTTTCACGCGAACCAGATAAGACGCGATTTTACCATTTTATTCGTTCAGACGGGAGCCGAATAGAAGGAATTTTATCGAATTCTCGTTGCCGCGTATTTCAAGATTTCGCCGCAGTCGGCGACGTTGGAAAGCGTAGAGAATAGATAGATATATATTTTAAGACACGGTTAAAATTTCATGGTCTCGCCTGGATTTTACTGAGCAGTCTCCGATATTTACTAATCTATAAAACTCGGAAAGCTTAGCTGTAACGCACACAGCCAGATTAATGATCAATAAACGGCAAGGACACATCGGACACTCGTAAATTTCACGGTTTAACGTTAGACTCGCAGACGTGTTTCAGTGGTTAAAGGTTATACGCGACAATGAAACTTGTTTTAAGTCTTCTAAACGCGTATCTCAGGTCAAACAGAATCACAGTTTCCTCGTTAATTCTACTTAATATATAAATTTTCAATATCTTCGTAATTATTACTAAACTCAGGTGTGCGAAGAAAATGTTTTCAGACCGGGAGTCTCGGGAATACGGTGGAAATGGTGATACTAATTTGGGATGAAGAAAATGTGGTTGTATGAATACTGTCCAGATGACTAACAAACAATTCGATGCCTAGAATTGTTTTATTATGTTCGAACAAACGTTTGTTATTTAATTCTAAATTCACTGGACCTAGTAAAAACATGAAAAAATTCAAATTTATAGGAAAAATATACCAACACACTGTACCTAAGATTTTGTGTGAGATTGTAAGGAACTTCATGTACATAAATGTCTGACCACTAGGTTTGAAAGGGATAATTATGCGATCCCCAATACAGTAAATTCTCGATGATTGTTCGAAAGTTACTCGGCACTGATGGAGGGAGATCTCCTGGTGTAACGTTGACCTTTTTAACGAGGTTTAGCACAGCGATAGAGCTTAGAATTCTGAAGCCAATAATGTTTGTTTCAGCCGCATATGGTCGTTAGTTTATGAAATACATGATATTCAGTGGTGAGGCGTCTTCGAACACTAATCCCGAATTTACTGTATCGATATTATTCCCAGTTGTAACCAGAAGCTCAACGAGATTCACTGATCCATTCTGCCATACTTTATGGATCCATTAGAGACGACCCGCAACAGGTCTACGGAACAGACTACAACTAATTCCATTGAACAGCAACAAGCCCCTCTCAGGTCAGAGGAATCGATTCCGATGTTCCAGCGTTTAATCGGCAATTCCGTGCGTGGTCGTGGGCGCGATCAACTAAACGTTCGGCAAAGAAACGATCAACTTTTACGAGAAAAGAATTCTACTAACGGTTGGTGGCTTTCAGGCTGATGAGCCTGTTCCGTGAAGAACGGGAACGGCGTGATCGAGTCGGTCTGAACGACAATTTACGCGAAAGAAATCGTGCAGGCGTTCTTGAAAGCATCGAGTTCTCTCGTCGTCGAGAACCTTCGGATACGAATGTTTTTGCGAAACGCCGGTCGATTCGAACGAGTCGTTTGGACGTACGGGCTTATCGATTTGAGGTTAGATTGAACTTGCTGAGATTAAGAAGCGTTTTGCTACGGTGACTTTCTTCAGGGTCCTGATTCATCGAAGAGTTTCGCTTTTATAACAGTCGCTGGATTAAAGCTGGTCCATTTTAGAAAAAGAAGGATAGATTCATTTGCGACCGAATAATAGTTGAAAGAAAATGAACGGATTCCAGCATGTACGACTGAATTTTCTGAGTTGTAAATTCTGCGAACAGATGTAGGTACAAGTTACATTACGCGATTTGATTTATTGAAATTATGAAACAATTAGATATTTCAAACCTAGAAATAGAATACATTTTTCGGAAATGTAAATCTGCGAACGAGAGTGCAGTAAAAGTTTTCCGAAAGAATACTATAAATTTTACATTACGTTGGACCTATCGAAACCTTCAATAAAGAGGTCGAAACTCTGACGTAATTCCAGTTCAGTGAATTAATCTATAAAAATCTGAATTTGCATAAAGATCCCGTAGTCTGTTCATAAATCTTTTAAAAGATAAAGTTTCCATACGCATAATTGCAGAGGTTCCGAATTGCTTTGTATTTAAAAAGAAGAAAAATCATCGTTCATTTTCTCCGTAGGTCTCATTGGTTAATAAATAAGAGTCTCAAGAATATCTTCAAGTAAAACCTCAGAGGGGAAACATATCTCTGCCAGCCGTTGCCAATAAATATTTAAGTGTCTTCGAAGAGTGACTATCGATCTTCAAAGCCGTCCCTTTAATTTGGTGAAATAAGAGTCTTCTCGACGATTTATTACGGCTACGTCGTTAAGATGCCATCTTACAACGTGCATAAAACACGGTCGTACATTTTGGGTTTTTTTTCTCTATTTTTTTTTTCTTTTTTTTTTCAAAGACACATTGTTTTTCGCAAACGACCGGACGGCTCAGACTGAGCCGGCGAGGCAACGGCTTGATTTATCGTTGAAAATTCACATCGTCCGCGAAAGGGGGAAAAAGTGGTTGGGGGCTCGAAAAGACGGACTCGTGGGCGGATCGTTCCACTGTATCGAGGAACAGGCGAAAAGCCGTCATTCATGCGGCCAATCCTCCTTCAGATCCTGTCAGACGCCGCGCCAATGACGTGATTGTTCACCTTCCTCGAGCACGCTAATAGAAATTTATCGTGTCATGTTTGGCTCGATGAAAAATGAACTCCGGCTGGCATCTTATCAATCTTCGAAAAAGCAAACTCGAGTAAATTCCTCGAAGATTTTTCCTCGCGAAAGAAAAGCTTTCCGTGTCGAATGTCTGATTTTTCAAACATTTTCGACTATTTTCTCTACGACAACACTTTCATTAAAATGAGACTCGATATTGGATAGAAACATTGAGTTTCCTACTAGATTCCAGGGACTTCTACCGAAATATAAAATACCGGTATTATATCGGTATTTTCGATTGTACCTTCGCCTTATATAATCCTATAAAAGCTCTATCCTTATAGAAACTGAAAAAATACCAGTATTTATTTCAGTTTTCAGTAATATATCGGTTTCGGTATAGCTTTGATGGCATAATACCGGTATCAAAATCATATCGATTTAAGTCCCTGCTAGATTCAACGACTTCAATTTTCGCGGTGGTAAGACCTGTGTTGGACTGGAACGATCGTATGAAATCTGTCGAACTAAAATTCGTGTACCTATATTTGACCGTGACATAAACTGTGTAACAAAACTGTCAAGCTCGAACGATCAATATGTAACATTCCTCGGTACGTCAATTAAATATTCCACGCGGATGCACCGCACCGCGAGAAATTCGACGGAAAAACCGAATAACAAACATTCCCATTGATCGAACCGATCAATCGTTACTTACCCGTTGCCCCTCACGCCGGATTCGCCGCCGGGTCCGCTGCCGTTCTAACAAACAAAAAAACAAGTTTATTAAAAAACAAGCCTAGTAACAGTTCGAGGAGAACGAAAACGGAGAACGCGCGTTCGCGCGAACGATGGCGCAGGCGTACGAAAAAATATTGTACACAGTCTTTGGATTTACGCGCGGCCACACGGAAACGGACCAGAAATTTCGCGATCCTCGAAACGAAAAACAAAACCGAACCGAAAAACGTTTCACGAGTGACCGAATGAAAAGTTCTCGTTCCGTTTCCCGTGGCCGCGCACGCACAATGCTTTGCCCTGTACACAAATCAGTCTCTTTACGTCGACTTAAGGGTAAGAAAAGCTCCGACGAAGCAGAGAATCGAGCGCAGATCGCGGGGACTCGAGGGGAATATAGCCACTCCCGAGAGGTCATCTTTCGAAACCGTGACCTGGGGGATAAAAGTAGGTGGTTCCCGTTGTTTCTTTTTTTTTTTTTTCTTTTCAGTCGCCTTTTGCTACCTGTCCTCCCCTGGATCGCCCAGCGCAGCTGTGTTGACTCGGATTAAGAACCTTCATTTCCTCCCGGCCGTTTTCTTTCCACCGTTGTCAACCCTGTCCGTTTTCTTCCTCCGATTGTAGGTACTCGTTTTTCTCGTCGAACACCGTCCCGCTCCCATCTAGCCAGCCACAGAGCCTTGTCACACGCTGAGATGAGCCAGCAGACTCCTGGCGAACCTCGTCTTCTTCCCCCAACGGAACAGGTGCACCCCCCATTTTTTATCCATCGTTGAATCCTCTGGGACAGCTCTTTAGACCGGTCGTTAATCAAGAGTCTCGAATAGAGGTTGTTTCAGAGAACACCGCGGGGGTTGAGGAACACTACCGATTTATTGGGAAACGATAATCTCGTGACGTCTTCGACGGCAAAAGGGTATCCGATCGATATGAGAAACGTAACGGTTTCTCGTGTTTTCTACCGGATAGAAATTTCAATTCAGATTGATTATTCTATCCTCTTGTACGCTTAATTAGAGGTGACGGGTCTTATCGAGATCATATTTGAATTCAACCCCTTTTCGCGGTATTTATTGTGCTTATCCCGGAGTCTCTGAAAAATTTTGTGCCTCCCTTAAAGAAATCTGTTTCTTCTTCATATTTTTTGTCTCTTGTAGTTTTTACTGCTCCCGTACTCTCGTCCCCTTGATTATTTTTCGCGCGTTCGCACGCTCGCCTGCGCCCACTCTCGTGTTCACCCTCGTTCGCCCGGCGTCGCACGGAGAAATGGAAGATTTGGGAGACAGTGTGTAACAGCCCGTATAAATATAATATCACGTACAATATACCTCGTAAAATTTCTGTTCACGATAGAAGATACAATATAAACTTACGGATAGCGTAACAAGTATAAGTTATTTAGAGTTAGAGCCGCAGGTATCTTCGTCCACATTGTACGCCCTGTTAGTCGTTCGCTCGTCTATTTGCGTGCCGTTTTTGCCCTTAATTTCTCGCTCGTTCGCGCGAATACAGTCTTGCGTTAATGCTGGGGGTTTGTCGTTTTCACCGTCACCCCCGTTGAGAAGCTTAGACAACACCGGATCACATGACGATCCTCGCGTCGATGTGGTATCTTTGGATCGTTCTGTTCGTTTATTTTTGTTTCTTGGTTTTCGCGTTTAGTCGCGAAGATGGCCGCCTTCGAGGACGTCTCTCGAACGATTCTTGATTTTCGTGGGATTTTTTGCGCGGGTGTTGTAAGGTCGAGTAGCAAAAATAGAAGTGGGTTCGCTAATTCTTTTCCGTGGGAAGAATTATTTTGGAATTTAGGCTGGTTATGGAGTGTCCAGGGAATCGAAGAGGAATTCGATACGCTTGGAAGAACTGTAGGCATTTTTCTTTTTCATCCCTCCGTGAATTTAATCGAAAAATATTTTTTACAGTTGCCGGTGCGTCGGGTTTACACGCGTGGTCGAGAACCAACGAGGAATTAATTTGACATTTTGTAGTTTCGTAATGCATCCCGCAGCGTAAATTAATTTTCAAGGCGACACTTTAAACGCGTTAACGTTTCTATAGGACGCGGGGCGAACGAAATCCACGTTGCGAGCAAATGGCGTCACATTTCCCCGGGGACTGCATATGAAATTTTGTTACGGGTCTAGGAAAAGGGAGTGTTCCGTCGAAACGTATGCAATGCAGGTTTTAGTTTATAAGGTACGAAACGTCACTGCTCGGAGAACTTTTAAACGGATTTATTCAATTTATCATTACTGTGTGAGATGGGAAATATCTATGAATCGAGTTACTCATTTGTTTTTCAATGATAATTAAGAAGGTTAGTTTCATTGCTTTTCTGTCTATTCGATAAAATTAATTAAACAGTAATCAACGTATCGACTTGGGTCCTAAAAAAAGAACTCGTTATATAAAACGGAAATAAATATAATAATATTCTGTCAGAATGTATTACAGAGTTTCAATTTGTTACTCTGTAGATTCAAGGAACAGGAACGAAGGAATCGTAATACGTCCGCCATATTGTCAGTCTTCGACGGAGAGGTCCTCGAAGGCGAGCGAAGTAATAACTGATTAATTGCTATACGTTACATATCTACGTGGAATAGCATCGCTTCGCGAGTGTAAGAATTCTGACAAGCGTTTACTTAACAACGAAAATACCGTGTACATACGTATGCACCGTCTAACAAGTTTGTCCGTTTATCTATTTATTAGGCCTTAACCACATTACGTACTTCCTTTAATTCGCTTAAACGCTAAACCGCTGTACGATCAGCGCCGCTAAACATTATTACGCTACGATCGAAGAAGCCTTACGAAATCCGTAGCTCCCAGATCTTGTCTGTCGATGATATGAACGCTTAAAAATGGAGAAACGACACCGATGATATGAAAAAACCGTGCGATAAAGATGGCCCGCTCGTCGAGACGTCGCGACGGTTTCGCGTCCGACGACGACGCGCGCGCGCACACGACAATAAGGAACATCGATATTGACTAATTATTATTAATATCATTGTTCGGCGATATTTTGATAGCCAGAATGATCGAGTCATTCCGCCTCGATCCCCTAACGAAGCGCGATATATCGTGTATTAAACCACGAATTCGTGTGAACACCGCCATTTCGATAGTGGCCAGTACACACACTGTTCGTTTACCCTTTTTTTTTTTTTTTGTTTTTCGTTGACGTACACCACTAACGTAATTTTCCTTTCATTCTTGACGTCGCGATGCCTCGACGAGGTATATTAACGTTTAAGCGTCGGGATCGTCGTTTATCTGCGCTCCAGGAGCCAACTCCGATCGAGGATTAAGAAAGAGGATCGTCCGGTAATTGGTTCTGAATCGATGGACGATGATGTAGAGTTAATTCCGATAATAACGAAGTTAACTATGAAGGGCGATGTTTTGCTGCTCGATTCACCGTTCTGGGTAATTGTGAATCAGCAGCTCAGGGGTGATTAGACCGCGGATGTGTGTCCTTTACAATGTACAAAATATAATTAGATATTTTTTTTTTTTTCAATTCTGATAAATCTTTGTTTTAATAGAATCTTTGATGCAGAAGATAAAAATGTAAATTTATATATATGTGTGTATATATATGTATATATAAACATCCGCAATCTATGGATGATATGTGACGTTGATAGGGTTAACGATGATCGCTCCAACTTTCGTAAACATTCGCTGGAAACCAAATTGCGTCCGCCATTTTTGCAGTTCGTCGGATTCTAATTAATATTTCATACATGGACCATTAACGTATTATATATGACATTATGTTAAATTGATATAAAATACTGTGATCCCACCGATTTCTACGCAACGTTAATGGACAATTCGCTTTCTGCATCTAGCAGAAAAAGGCTGAGATGAATTTTATATGATATGAGATTAAGGTATCATGAGATAGGTATGATTAAGAGATCCCAGATCGATATCGATGCGAATGCTGAGTCCAAGAGCGGATGATATTCAAACACAATAATTTTCCATGAAATTCCACTTCCTATAAATTACACCAGCACCAATTTTCCCGTCGTTTTCGTAAAACCACCCATTGAATGTCACTCGGAACCATAAACACGCGTCACGCTTGGAGTTAATGAAATTCGCCCGTGTATCCGCGAAAACGGACTTCCTTTGTCTACTGGAAACAAAAACGTCGACTTCGACACACGCCTCGAAATCGCGCGATTAATTCCCCACGGTTTTTCTCTCGAAAGCAATTCAATTGGCCTCCGCGACGTAATCAGCTTTTCATTTCGCGAGTGCACCGAAGGAAATTGTAATCGAGCCAATTATCCGGGGTTCCATGGAACTCGAGGATCTTCGACCCGGTACGAAATTGCCCGTTATTTTCTCGATCGACCTCGATCAGTTCACCGGGATCCTCCCTGACCCGCTGAGGGAGTATTTGTGCCGAGAAGCTGGGCAAAATTCCATCTCGAAAATATTGCCCAAAGCTTTCAAATTCTTGCCACTCGAGGGTGTTGAATATACGAGGAGCAAGGCGTGAAGACCCGAATTCAAGCAAGAAAACGAAACTGTTCTTAAAGGAAGCCTTACGATTCCTACGTCCTTTTGAATTTACTGTACTTTATCCGAACACTTATGGACGGTACAACATTTTTAATTAACGTGAATCTGAAGAAAATTTACGGTAAAATATTTTTGTTACTTTGTTCAAAATTAACCTGACCACCTATTGCTTAATTAAATGCGTTTAAAAACATGAGATAGTTTTTGCCCAACATTTCGATGGAAAGAATGAAACAGGTGATGATGATTGATCACGGGTGTACCGAAACGAAAATTGCGGGGAAACGGAAAAACTCCGGAGGATACATTCCTCGGCTGTTTACGTATGCAAAGAACGTACGTCGCGTAACGTCGCGGAAAAGCGAGTTTCCACGTTGCTCCCCGTGGAACCAGCCGGTTCCCGGCGCAATATGACCGCGTCTCGTTTTCCGTCGCCTCTGAGAAATCGTTGCCAACGTTTTCCAGCGACAGAGGGA